TCAACTGAGATGTCATTATAGTACTGTCAAATGTATAATCAGTCTTCATGAAACCTTTCAGATGTAAATTCCACTATTGAACAATGGGGGTGGATCCTTCCCTTGCAACACCGATGCCATATTCATAGTGTTCAACATCTCATTCAGTTCTGCAATCACACTGCCTTTTAGGCACGCATGTCCACCTCAAGAACAACCGCTGGCTCCGAGACGACATAAATTACTTATTAATGAGCTTACAACATTATTATTAATTTTTTGTAGATTCGCATGCCATTCTCAGCACCCACAGGGTTCATGGTACCTCCGCTGCATGGTGTTTCCTCGGCAGTATCGTGCAGTGGTACACTGGATCAGGGGTCCCTCTTCCGTTTCCGAGTCCGCTCAAATTACTCTGTTGTCGTTGTTATTTGAACTTTCGTCGTGCGAGCGATTTACACGTGCCCTGTTATTGGTGTGAGATGTTGCAAGGCATGGGATATCCACCCCGTTCTTAAAAATGTTTTTTTCTTTTCAGATTCTCGTTTTGTCATACGAGCCATTTATCTCCCTTCCCTTTTTCAGCCACTACCCAGGTGATGACCAATCACACAAGGAATAACGTACAAAATCTGACGGGACAATTATATTTTGTCTGCAAACACTGTTGGATTTATTTACGTCACGTATCCACCCTCCATGAACCCTGTCGGGGCTGTGCTATCATGAACAGCATGGGATGGGAATTCTGAACACCCGGCAGGGGGAGGTCTGCATGGTGGCGCCACCCCTGCTGGATGTTCATTCTTATTTTTTTCATTGAATTAGATTCCCATTGGATCATTCAACGTGTGATGATTTTCCAAAGCTGGCCCATCCCTTATAAACTTTGTATCGTCAATTATCAAGGATGGTCCAGCTTACTCCATTTGTTCAAACTAAGACGTTGATTTTTTATTAGAATGTCATTGGATCCTAGAGCATTTTGACTTTACTCAAGACTGGATTTTAATAGAACTTTTTTGTGTACAATCATTCAAGGGCGTGACGCCACGAGGGCGTCACACACGTCCCGCTTGTAATTAAGTCCTGTTTTCTTTGTCTTCCAGTCAATCAATGGATAATAAACCACCGCCTCGTGCGTGGCAATGGTCGACTTTATCTCATTCAGTTTGCTTCTTGGATCTAACCCCTCCTTCTGATTCGTTTCATACACCTTTTCCACGTTTAAATTCCATTTAATCAAACCATGGTCCAGGTTAAGTTTCAACCACTACATTCGATGGCCTCATCCATTGCTCATGACTTCTTCCGCCAGGAAGCAAACACCCTATCTTCATTATGTGTATTAATGTACAACAATGGGCGTGACGTCACTTGGACGTCACACACGTCCCGCTTGTCACCAGGCTCTATTCGAGATGTTCATTAAAAAAAAAAAAAAGTTGATTCTGACCTCCATACAGTGCGTTTTTTCATGGACTTCTGGGGATGCGAGGGGTCTGGGGCTACTTTTCATGGTTTGCGCATGCGCAGTAGGTCTACGCGGAAATGTGCTCATAGGAATGCGGGGGACCTGGGGAGTAGTTTGGCGGTCTGCGCATGTGTCTACGATCCCATTCACGTGACTGCGCAAGCAAAAGCTTTGGGCCCAACTGCGCATGCGTCCAACCACCACGCCACTATAGGGGTCTTCCTATGAATGCGTATGTTCCTTACCCCATGGGGTCACGTGAATTTTCATGACCATATATGGGCATTTCAACGTCATTTGGGTCACATGACCTATATGCTCGATTCTGATTGGTTGAAAAAATTTTTGCTGCGCTCTGATTGGTTACCGACTAGGGTAGCCTGTATTACTACTATCGCGCTTAAGAAATCGATATTTGATTTCCACTTTTCACTTTGGAAACTAACTTTTGACATCGACTTGTTATTTCCTAAATTTACAGTTTGCTTTTAATTTTGACTCTTTACTTTAAAGATCGACTTTCAATTTTTACTTTTCACTTTCAATGGCCACCCTCGGCCACGGTTGAACCTTGGGAATTTGCCAGTGCATGAATTATGAATTCAAATTTTAAAACTCCAAAATATACTGCCGATTGACAAGAAAAAATTGACCGGATCAATCACAAAGTTTATTTCCTGAAAAGGTAAAAAACAAATTGCTTAAATTAGATTAGGCAATTTATTTTTCATGCACGGGCAAATTCCCAAACTCCGCTGCCGCAAAAAAGTGTCATTAAAAGTGAAATGCTTTAATTAATGAAGGCTACTTTCTGTGTGTTTTATTCGTCTTTCTTTTTAATTTTTCTCCTACCAAAATAGTTTCCAAAACATACCCTCAGTGATTTTTTAGAACGTCTGTATGGCAAACTAAAACTCGCCTCATAAAATTAAAACGTGAAGGGCAGAATTCGGAATAAAAAATATATGATATTCGGATCATTTGGACAGCTCCTGTCAATCTGCCTTAACCAAAGCTTAAGGAGGCTCACTTTAGTACAATTTGCTGTTCAAAGATGTTTAATTATCACAAATTAGAAAAAAAAAATCAAGCTGCTTCTTAAGAAGCCTTTTATTGTCTACACCTGATCACTACTTTTTTACTGATTCGTTGATAGATGAAGCTTTGCGTAAAATTGTGAAAATGGAACGAAGACCAGACAAATGCCTCTGATGGGTGCGGCATATTCATGTAAACGAATCTCTGTGGAAAAACCTCCATTAAACAAGAACGATTTCAGAATCCAGAAGAAAAATAAGGATTTGTAAATATCAAGTCGATACACAACTTTTACGTCCTGTCTCTTGCGTTTCCTATGTTGTGTTCTCACTCCTGTAAATTGTCAAAATAAAAATCGCAGATTTAAAAGCATCCAGTTTACTTAGCAAATTAGAAAAGACCCGCCAAAATGAAAAAGAAAACCATTAGTGTTACAGTTCCTCACCTTTTGATCTTAAAAACGGGCAAATAGACTCACTCTCTGAACTTTCTTTCTTCGCAGAGTCGACCTGCGTTAAGTGACGGAGTGCTAGAGTTACATGAATAAAGGCGTTGATTTGTATTGTGCAGCCTGTTCGAGGCTCCATGTTAGTGGGGAAAGCGGATCGAAGTAGAAAAAGTGCGGAAAACCGCGTGAGGACTGGAGAAAGAAACCGTCGTTTCTCGCTCGCTCGCTTTTTCGCTGCGTTTCTATCGCTTCTCGTTCGATTTTTTCGCTCATCTACACTGACCGAGAGTACCCTGACCCAGAGCCAAGCACAGGCTATGTATTGTGAGGTTTTTCAAGACCAGGCTCCTTTTTGGGAAAACAGGACGATTCCAAGGCAAGCGAACGCCGAAATTTTATTTTTTTTTCTTTTATTTTGTCTTGTTTTCTCCATTTTTTATTTAAGGAAATGTCGTCTTTTTTTCCTCACAAAATGAAAGTTGTCCCGACAACTTTACTTATCTGCTTTGCTCCTCGATGATGGTACCAAACTGTTATTTATAATAGACAAAAACATGCTTTAGTAACCCAATTTTTGTCCAAATTAGTGACATTTTTTGTTGTTGTCACTGTCCGCAGCAATTTTTTCTATCCGATTTTTTTTCGATCCGCCTTTTACTATCCGCATGCGCCATCCGCAGGTATCCGGTCAGCGTCTTACAGGCACCTCCCAGAACTTACGCATGGAGTGAGAAGCGTAAGGACCGGGGTCTAGAATGCACTACGCCTCTGAGGATTTGCTGGCGAGCAATGGTGTGATTTGAAGCTATATAGCAACAGTCCTGATCCTAAATGGAAGGTAACCGTTTGGAGTCATTGCTTAACCTTAATCACTATGTTCAGGGCTTAACCCTAACCACTATTGTTGCTTAACCCTAATCACTATAGTCAGTGCTCGAAACCGAAGCGTTAGATTTCAAATTTAAGTCTTCTGAAATGGCTATAAACGTATCTAAAATATCCGATAGTAATATAAATTTGTAATTATTACATCGGCACTTAAAACAACAAGTTACAACCTGGCCCTCACGTTAGACCAAAATTTAAATGAATAGTATTTGAAGCTAAACCCAACACACGCAACGGTCGAGTGTTACCCGGACATTTTAAAAGGTGCCAAAGTTGCCTTACCGATTGTCATTAAGAGCAGGGCTACAAAACTCTTTGGCAACAGCTACAAGACAAAGTTTGTCTGTTCTCTGTTTGTGGGTGTTTAGTATTGTCAGATTACTAAATTTTGTTTGTGTGCTAAGTGACAGATCTGGGTAACCAAAGAAAAAAAAAATTTACCATCCGAAAAAGTGTGTGTGTGGGTGGGTGTGGGTGTGGCTGAAGCCCCCCAGCCTCACCCTCTGCGCAGTCTTTGCATGTCCGGGGGATTTCAGCCGATGGGATCTAATGCTATTAATCCATGTTATATCAATCCATGCTTTATTAATCGATGTTTTCTCAGTCCAGTCCATGTTTTACTAGTTCAGTCTTTACTTTATGATGTGGCGCACAAAAGCAAATAGAGATCACACGTGAAAACGATGGGGAGGGGGCAAGAAACAAAGGAAGATTCTTTCCCTCTCCCCGTCCTCCTTTTTTGACCTCTTATCTTACGAAACACTAAGTTGCGGTCCTTCCTCCCCTTTTGTTTGAGAGACGAAGGTAAAAGGACGCGTCTTTTCCCCTTTCCCCGAAAAAAAAAACGCCGGTTACTACCACTTTAGCCTGCATAACAGGAAACAGGCGCTTTATAAGCCAAATCAAAGCCTGGTAAACATGGTAAACGCGGCATTTTGCGCGAAGTGCGAGACGAAGAAAAAGGAAAGCGCCTAAGCGGCGCTTTCTACTCCCCTCGTCTCGCGATCCGTGATCGTCTTGTTCTTCGCGCATAATGCCGAGTTCGCCTCAACGAAACAGGAACGGAAAACACACAGAGAAACGCACACACAAAAAATCTGGGTGCTACAGTTTGTTGGTTGTTACATGAACGACTGAGTGACGGCCTTGTGTCGGCCAGGCTACCAAGTCATCATGGTGGTCAACACAGAAGTGTTGCTTCGGGCTTGGAGGGAAAGATGGTCTCCTTTGCAGTGGCTGGTGGAAGTAAAAAAGGTAGCAGGCAAAGACAGAGAAGAGCTGCAGGATTTAGCCGGTAATTTTTCATTCACAGTCAATTAAGTTAGTCTGTTAAAAGTTGACATGAACGCACGTAGTGAAGGCTGGTTCCATGTTGTTCATGACTGTTCTATTATCTGTTTTCCCTCTTCCTTACTAAGTATGGCTAGCGTAACACTAATTTAGGTTAATTAAACTTCGTAGCGTGATTGTTTGCGTTGATATAATATAGACAGAGAAATTTGTAAAATCCACTTAAACTGCTGTCCGTGAATGGGCCGGGATTTAAGAAGCCTTTTGAAAGTGATCATTAACAAACAGTCAAAATAAAATCAGTCGAAAAATAATAATAACAATGGAAATAAACGACCAATTAAGATAAGTACTATATAATGAATTTAGAATGGATTTTTGGAACTATTTTAATTGTTACCGGTATTGTTTATGTCATATAATATTGTTTATGTCATATAATTTTAGCTTTGGTTTAATAGAATTCATTTGTTAGTTGTTAAGGCCACCTATTGTGTTGGGTTAGGAACAGTATAAAATTCTAAGCATTAAGTGCCTGGTTTAGTAATCAGGGTAATGTGTTTGGTGTAGCAATTAAAGTTAACCTTTATTTGAAACTGTTTAAGGTGGCTCCGTAATTAATACAAGAGCATTTAACTGTGACAAATTTTCCGTCATAACTTTTTGGTTTTTAACGCGCTGGCTGCGAAACTTGGCAAAGAACAACAGATATCAATCGGCAATAACACAAAATATTCCGATTTCACTGATGGTAAATATTTCTTGAGAAATTAGTGCTTAAAAGGACCCTACTGTTCAAAGAAAATCGCGTCTAGTAAAAAATTTTGCTGATATTTTTTACTGAAATTTCTAATTATCGGCTTTAAAGGATGTAATAAATATGCCAGAGGAATTTCAGAAAAATCGTTGGAGCAGAAGTCCGTAACTAAAAGTCGGTCAAAATTCAGCTGTGAAATTGTTTTGGAATTTCAAAAATAAATTACTATCAGGTAGAAGGAGCCACCAGTTTGAATTTTCGGGACAAGTAAATTCAGCGCTTGCTAATTCTTAAAACAAAAGCTGATTGCCTATCGTGCTATTCTTTAAAAGGTACTTTTTAGTTTTAGAAGAACTATAAATTGCTCCAAACCTTGCTCTGAAGTAGAATGACTTGTTCGTCAACAGTTTTAAAATATCCCTTGGCAGTTTTGGCTCAAACTCCTGCTGCATACATTTTGATGTATTGCCATGCATTTTCAACGACTTTTACTGCCGTTCGTTGCTTCCAACTCAGGAAAAAAGTATTGAGATGGGACGCTACCTCGTATCAGAGCTCAGAAAGAACTGTCCAGCACCTTTGTTTATGACTACAAAATGAGCACGAGCGGCAGTTCTGCGTGGAATTCGCAACTCACCCAGGTGGGACGAACGACAATGATGACCATGCTTGTGATCCAAATAACATCACAGTGCAAAATAAAATTATTGCAAAAATACTGCCCGTTAATAAATTTACAACTCCGAAATTTTTGTCACTCCTTCCTTCAATGAATGGGTATTTTTGTCTTGATTATTATGTTTTGCTCTGCAATACATGTTTATACAGATTGGTTCACAGACATGGGCATCATTGTCACTCGTCCCCCCTGGCTGAGGTGCGAATTCCTCGCAGAGCTGCCGCTCGTGCTCATTTTCTGGTCATAAACAAAGGTACTGGACAGTTCTATCTGAGCTTCGATACTAGGTAGCTTACAATCCCAATACCTTTTTCCTGAATTGGAAACAACGTAAAGCACGAAAAGCTGTTGGGGAGGCTTTGCAATACATCAAAATGTATGTAGCAGGAGTTTGAACCAAAATTGCCAAGGGATATTTTAAAAATGTTGAGGAACAAGTCATTCGATGTCAGAGCAAAGTTTCGAGCAATTTATAGTGCTTCTAAAACTGAAAAGTACCTTTTAAAGAATAGCACGATAGGCAATCGGCTTCTGTTTTCAGAATTAGGAAACACACTGAAGTTGCTTGTCCCGAAAATTGAAACTGGTGTCTCCTTCTTTCTGATAGTAATTTATTTTTGAAATTCCAAAACAATTTCACAGCTGAATTTTGACCGACTTTTAGTTACCGACTTCTGCTCCAACGATTTTTCTGAAATTCCTCTGGCATATTTATTATATCAATTAAAGCCGATACCAGAAATTTCAGTAAAAAATATCAGCAAAATTTTTTAATAGACGCAATTTTCTTTGAACAGTAGGGTCCTTTTAAGCGCTAATTTCTCAAGAAATATTTACCATCAATGAAATCGGAATATTTCGTATTATTGCCGAATGATATCTGTTGTTAATTGCAAAGTTTCGCAGCCATCGCGTTAAAATCGAAAAAGTTATGACGGAAAATTTGTCACAGCTAAATGCTCTTGGGTTAATTACGGAGCCACCTTAAGGTTTAGGTCATTGTATGCATTTTCATGCCCCTATTTTATTTTTGTACATTACATGTACCATTTAATTGCATCTTTCTCTAGAATGCCTTGTTCAGCAGGCCACCTTTGGAAGTACACCAAGCTCTCTAATATTGTCATATCTTAATCATGGAATTACAACCAAGGTATTACTTGTTATTATATAGATGTAGATCTGCATGTGAAAAATTAGTAGGATTCATTTCTTATTTAGAAATGGAAATAATGTTTTCTGGCAAATTAATAAAGTAATAATACAGTATACATGTATGTATACTGATTTTGGTAATGGGAATAACCATCATGTCTTTCCACTTTCAAGTAGCCATAGAGAATACCCTTAATGACAGTCCTACATGTAGGTTAGGCGCAAAACTGTCATCAAATTGCTGTGATTAAGGCATTTAAATTAAGTTGTACATAAAACCTTATTGACCATACTTTTAATATATTTATTACTTTTGATTGTACATTTTTGTGGTATTTTCTGGCACTTTTGATAAATTTATAGTTATGCAAATATGTACATTGTAAAACGAAGGTGCACATTATAAAAGTATCCAATAGCCTGCAAGCAAGTTCTTCTGGGAGCTCTGGTGGCAGGGCGGAGAAAGGAAGGAGAGCTTGCAACTTCATAACTGGAATTAGCATATTCTCATTGAAGAAGTTGTCAGCTGAGTTGACGGGGAGCCACAGCGGGATTAGAGGTGGAATTCAAATTCCAGAGATGTTGTTTCAAGCTCTCCTTCCTTTTCTCACCCCGCCACCAGAGCTCCCTGGAGAGCTTGCTTGTAGGCTAGAGTATCTTTGCCTTGATGACTAAAGCTATGTTACAGAATTGCCACCCTGTTACCAAGCATGTTTTATTTTTGCTAACTAGGTCATTCCCTGTTCATCAGCTCTGACAGCAGTTCAACAGGTACTCTCAAATTTTAATGCAACTTATAATGCTTAAGGCTCTTCATTTTTACTTTTGTGTACAGTGGAACATTGCTCTATGGGAAACTTCCTAATAAGTACACGTCACTAATACAGACAGTTTTCTTTGTCTTCCGGGAAAGCTCTTATTATTTTCTGTAATTTACAACCACTTAATATGAACAGTTACTAATGTGGACAAGGGACACCTTTTTTTTCTTGGTCCATCAACAGATTCTTACAAAGGGTAAACCTTGCAAGGCTTGAAATAGCAAAATATTATAGCTTGCCATTTTTTTATTTTTGGTATCAATCAATCAATCATTTGTTTTAACACATTACTTAGAGGAGCTAAAGAACTTGTTCAAAATACAAACCTGGGTAGATCATACAATTTTGGCCTGCCACCTACTGACATTTTTTGCTATTGATGATAGTTAAGCTTAGAGATAAGCCACCAATGGACACACAAAACACACGCCCATTTTTTGTGTTAACGCAAAATTGTTAACTAGTTTGAAAGCACGTTTTTGAAACTAGCTCTCGCTTTTGTTATTCAGTGTTTAAAGCTTCATTGTTTTGGCTTTGGTTTTCCAAACAAAAGAATGCAGCCTCCTGAATTGCCGATCTGAAAGAATGGTATTGAATATTCTATTTCTTTACAGTATAAGCAAATTAATTTTGAGCATTTTTAGGGACATTCTCCACAGAAAAGCTTTTTGGTGACAGTTGGAGACGTTTAGTTTGATAATGCTAATGTCATTTTACATTACTTTTCATGATGTCCGTTTTTGCTTTCCAATGTTGCCTTGGTGCCTGTATTAATGGGGTTCAGCTGTGGTGTAACTTAAGCTTCCTTCTTTAAAGATGTTTGTTTTTTTATAATTATTTTGCTCTCATTTATCTCTATTTTATTATTATTCTCTTTTTTAACCTTTTACCTTTTATCATGATAGAAAGAGTTATTGATTTCTGTTTCTTACCTGGTGTCACTTTCTTAATTTGTACCCTGGTATGTTTATTGATTGATATATGTTGCTCTCATTCCAGTTTCAGAACCTCATTAAACACAAGTGTCTGTCAGCTTTGCTTGATCTTTTGCTTAGTTTTATCCCAAGTATAAGGTAAGGACAGAAGTTTTAATGTTTCTCATGGATTTGCTGTTTTGGGATCTTTTTCAGCAACATGGACCTAGGCCAAACATCAAACTTTTCATGAGACAAACCAAAGTGTCGCAGAATTTCACAGAACCATTGTTTAGACACATTTAACAGCACTAGGAGACCATAGCCTGGAGTGAGCCTGACCCCCATACCACACCTATGTCACGGCGTTTTCTCAGACCTGTTTGTTTTTAGACATATTTTAGAGCATGTTTGTTGGCGAAAAAGGAATCTTAAATGAGTTTGGATCATCCAACACATTCTATCCATCTGCCTCAGATGGTTAGAACTTCTAAAGATTGTCTCCAGCACAAAATTAGTGTTGATCTTTGCATGAAATGAACTAAACTAATCAATTCATGTATTTTATACTCTTATAAGAGGCAAATTGTAGTTGCAGATACTTTTGGCATCTTCTGAGGACTTAAAAGATACATAATTACTTTTTTCCAATTTTGTCTGCTTTAGTTGCCCAGAGACTAATGAAGAATGCTTGAGATTGGCTGTTTCGTTGGTGAAAGTAATATACTGGCTTCTCATTGTTGTTACAAGGCTGCTAAAGTTATGCATAGAGGTTTGTATACTGTGCTGTTTTGCTTCATCTTGTTTACAGACAGCGCATTTTTTGTTATATCTTTTTTTTATTTATTACTACAACAACTTAACTCATCAGCTTATCAAGGACCTGATTGGCCCAGATTCTAATATGAAAATATACATATATGAAAGGGTGGGATACATGTGATATTTTACATGTAATAATTAATGCAACCTATTTGTATTTCAACTTTAATAAAGTAAAAAATCAAAACAAACAAATTATCTCTGAACTCCAACTCACTACACAAATGTATAGGTTGAACATACAACTACAATGTAGATGACCATCTACATCAGGTCAATGATTACATTTGCTTAGTCTATCAGGGCTCGATGTTGCAACCTGTGGGATCACCAATGCGACTAGCTTTTACTCTGTGGCGGCTAAATTTTAACGCCTGGTCACCAACCTGGCCCCCAAGATAGGTGACTTTCTTCTTTTAGAAAACGTACACTAATGATAATTTGTTATCCTTGAGACCTAAAACTAATAGATAACGAATGGTTTTTCTAACGCTCTAGCGTTTTGCCCAAATGCTCTAACGGTTTGTCTAAATATTTTAACGATTTGTCTAAATGCTTGAACAATTTTTTCCAACACTCTAACGGTTGTTCTTATGATCTAACAGTTGGTCCTTTTAACGTTTGACTTTTACTTGAAAGAGGATTGTGAAAATCACAAGTGATGAATTCGACGGAAGTCTTATTGACTTTTGGGCAAATCAATCACAATTCTCAACAGGTTGTCCCATGTTTCTCTGGGAATGACTTTTAGCGCATCGATTTAAAACAATTTCTTTCTGTCAAACATGTGTCTCGATTGCGAACTCGATAGCAGATTAGTCTGATAAAAGCTTAAGCTAATTGAGAACGTACAAATGGCACTTATTTCTTGAGCTTCTTGTAAACAACTTTATGCAAATTTCTGTGGAGCGTGACAACCAAAATAAAAGCTCTGCCGTATTTTATTGACTGCTAATGAAGTACCGTTGAACTCATGCTGTTTGTCTAACAAACTTCTCACAAAGTCAACTTCTTTGCCCGAAAACATTAGTGACAATTTCTCTTTCTGGAGACTTTCGATCACGTGTTAGGCAACCACGAAATAAATCAAGTTTCACCAATGTTCATTTCTTAACATGCAAATACTTGGGATGCAAAACAAATTTTGCAGATTTTGTTCTTTAATTAACCCAAATAATTTTTTTTGTGATTCCCAAAGTTTGTTTATCTAAATGTGTATTCCATTGCTTGAATATCTGTTTGGGGAGATTTACGCTTGAGTGCAGGTTCATTTTCGCGAACACGGGCTGATAATTGAGCCTCAAGCGATAACCATTCAAAGGAAGTCTAAAGCATTCTTTTTCTGTTAAGGCTAAGTAAAAGATGTTAAGACAGTTTATTGTATTTCATTAGTTATTAAATATAGTTTTTGGTGACTAGAATACTTGTTCTGGCAACCAAAAATGAATACTTGGGGGCCAGCTAGGCCTAAGATTTTTTTCTGAAAGATGATACATGTACATGGAATTGTCACTAGGCAATTACAGGTGAAAAGTTAAAATTTATTGATGATTATTACCTAATTACTCATAGCTTATTATTATTGATAGTTTTCCTTACATTGTAGGCTTTTTGTAAAGCACAGAAAAAGAAATTTTTCCCAAACTCCAGATGGAATTCATACTGTCTCATGATACTGATGTACATGTACATGTAATTTTGGGCTGGTTGCTCTTTTCCTTGATCCTTGCATGCATGCAAACAGCCATCCTCATACTCCATTTGATAGTTATAAAATTTGTTTTTACCTTACAACACAGTCCCTATGTCGATCTGGGGGTGGTGATGTTCCCTTTCACCTTTCCAATGTTGGAAAATGTAACAAAGCATTTGGACATCTCATGGGAACAGTAGCCTACCGAGCATTGGTCATTGTAGGCAAAATGGAGGATCAAGGTTTGAATGTTAACTGTTGTATAATCTGCAATAAAACAACATTTAAAAGTTTTCCCCCGAGTATTAAAGCAGTATCTTGGTCTACTATACTTGAGGAAAAGATGGGGCTGCTTGTAGTTCATAATATAGTAAATGGAATAAGCTTTGGTCATCTTCTTTGCTGCACACCAGTCTGTACACCTAAGTTTAAAGAATAACAGTTTACCCAATTTTTCTTGAACTGGCAGGCAGGAAACATTTTTCACTAACTGATGTATGCATTACAAATAGATGTGATCTTTTGTAAAATACATGTACCAGTATGAGGCAGTTAGAAATACGGTTATCATAGAATGGGTCGATTGTGTTCACGTTGGCAAATTGTACAGTGTTCCTCTTCAGAGTCAGTGGAAAGTGTTGTTCCTTATCCTCTTCATGGATTTTTCCTTTTTGTTAGCTGCAGCCTCTGAACTGGACAGACATTTACAAGCTCTTCTAAAGGACCTTGTTATGACACAGCCTGAGGTTGTTATACCTGAAATCCAGCTTCATTGTAAAGAACTCATGGTTAATTTCAACAGGTTTGTATTATTATTATTTTAAACTGCTACGTGTATTATACCATGTACATGTATATATAATAATACTTCAATGATAAATACATTGGAAGCATGAATTTAAATAGCACACTTACGTAACATGACGATGTTTGTTGGACTGTCTATAGTATATAAAAGTACAGTCATGTAATTACAAAATGGGTATTTTGAAATTATTATTATTTTTTAATTAAAGGATATCTTTTTAAAATACAGGTAGCAGATTTTCTCAAGATTATTTTCCTGCCACCGCTGATACCTTAACACTTTGAATGGCAGGAACACATATATATAAGTCCTAAAAGACAAGTTCCCACTATGGAGGACGTATATACTGTATACATGTGTGTCCTCTCCTTACCTTAAAGTGGTGTTATTTCTTCCAGTTGCTCAGCGTTTTCATTCATGGTTGTTTGAAAAGGTTTGAGAAGGAACAATGTTAACCACTGACCTGAATGTTTTTTTAAGACCTCTTGTAAGGAAGTCATTGAAAGTTGCATCACAAGGTGATGTTGTGTTGTGAAATATTGAAAGGAGCTGCCATGATAGTTGTGACAACCTTGCCAGATCACTTACATTTTTACTGTATCCAATTGTTTAATGCAAGAATTACAAAAGAGGAGTTAAAAAGTGTTATCATTGCAAAAAAAATATTTATCCATTTCATTGTAGTATTATAAGCATTGTAATGTAAAGTGCATTAGATCATATACCAAAGTATTTTGCGCTAGATAAATAATAAAGTTATGTTATGTTATGTTAAAAAATACATTTTCGTGACAAAATTCAATATGGCTGCCGGTTGCTAGGGGGTGTTTGAGTTGGCATTCAAAGAGTTAATAATAGCTTGTAACAAATTATTACAGTCAAAGCATGTCAAGCGTTCCTGTTGCTTGTGGACTAGTAAATTCATGGATGGAAAAGTAATTTGGTTTGTTGATTCAATAATCCATTCATAAAAATAATGAATAATCTAATAGTCAAATTGGACCTTGATTCAATAATATTTATTTACTATTTAAATGTTGATTTGGTTTGTAAACAAAATCTATCTGTTCTTTATTCTTGTCTGTTGCGTTCAATCATACTTATTTACTTCCCTTTTCCAACCATTTACGATTACGTTTTTCATTGCCTTTAATCAAAATAACAGGTAGAATAGACAGACCCCAAACGTAAAGAAACTGACAAATGCTGAGGATCGAAATCCACCAATCACCGCACATACACTGACCTCAGTATGACCATCGTGTTTTTTGAAGAGGTCAGGTCTGTTGTACTGATTACTAGCAGCAAAATGGCGTACATGTAACAGTTCGTTTGGGTTGGAACTTCAGAACTCGCCCGCACTTGACTCTCAGAATATTGGATTGTTCATTTTATGAATGGGTTACTGGATCAACAAACGAAATCATTTTTTTCATTAATGAATTCATTAGTTTGTTAGCGACGGGAACACTTGACCTGCTTTGACTGTAATGACTATTATCACGTAGCTGAATTAATTATGCAGAAATTAGACGTTACTGTGCAAAAGCTTAGAATTATAGCACAAGGAAATTAGAAAACACGACCATAGTAACAAAAAGTCAAAAAAAGAAAAAATAATAGTGAAGGTATTTGCTGCATCTGAATGGTCACTGTTAGTTTTAGTAGCTTAAACATTTGATTTGAATAAGCCTTAGTGGGTAAAATTATTCATATTCCTAGATATGAACCTGTTTGTACTACTGCTATTATAAACATAAAGTACTACATTTTCTGTAGTATTTAGGTTTCTAAATCTGGAGTAACTGCCTAAGACCCATTTTATGATCTAGTTTTAATAATAATTAGTTTATTAATGTAGATGTAACCTGACTTGTATGACACCGTTTGTGAATGCCAGTGTTTATTGAAAGCCAAACTGTCTTTAATTTTACTGTCACTTTCGGTTCTAACATTTAACAATTATTGAGTATATGAAGTTGTAATAAAAGGTTGACTTACAGTGTACAATGTTGGGTACTCACCAATGATGCAGCAAGGATACATCTTAAGTGAATTTGCTGTCAAAGTTAGATACAACTGTTTTAGTTAATGTGTTTTTGTTGAAGGTTGCAGACCTTAAACTCATCATTTGGTAGTGATATCAGCCCTGGACATGTCCCTAATATGGCTGTTCAGATGACCACTCAGTGTCAGGTCAGAGGAAATTATATAACAAGCAGTTGCTGTTTACACACAGGCCAATTTTATTTGGTCATTTTGAAATGTAGACCGTGAAGGTGGTGCAGACTTTACTTGTACCCTTAATGTTTCTTGCTTGATGAAAGTTAAAGGAGTAAAATACTTTCACTAGTTTCCTGCTTGTTTTTGTTGGAAGATTTGTCATGTATATTGAACCACAATTTCAACTATTACGCAGCTACCTTGAAACTGTTTACCACAGCTTTTCCTTAAACACAACTTGCCCAAAAGTACGTAATAGTAAACAAGTCATTAGGTTACACAAGTATCTACAGCTGTAGTTTACATAAGTTACGAGCTTACACAAGTTAGGAGGTTACATAAAAATTTTACACTCGGTCTCAGAAAATCTGCTTGTATTTTCTGATGTATTTCTTTACACGTGTGTTTCATGCATATATTTCTCGTGTAAAAAATTTGTGTGCAATATGGTGGATTTGCATACAAGAAACGTGTGTGATGCTGCAATTCCGTGGCCTTAAAGTGTACAAGGTTACACAAGTTACAAGTTTATGTATTGAAGCTTAGTAAGGATTTCTTAGTTTTGTCGAAAAATTACTACTTTAATTTACATTGTATGTCAAACAAGAATAATTTAGGATCATAGGGACTATTGTATATTTGATTTAAACATAGTTGTACTAAAAATAAGGGAAGAAATAAGAAAAAAAATACACTGGAAACTGTGAAGAAGTTAAATATGAAACATGCAAACCCAGTCACATCAATTAAACCTAGCAGTTCTTTGGAAAAACGTTTTATGGGTATACTGGTTGTCTTTGAAATACAATGTAAACTACAGTGTGTTTGCTTCATTTGCTAGATGACACATCTAATAACCCTCTCAATGTGCAATGTGACATTATTACTGATATAAAAAAAAAAATAATGCTCAATTTGGGAAGGAGATAAGGAAAGCACAAAGGAAATTATAGAGAAGCAAATTTCTCCCATGTAGCTGTTTTTGTGCCAGACATGTACAAATTTGAGAGCTCTTGTGTAGTTAATATATAGTAGTGTCAAGTAGTTACTCTTTTAGGAGAAAGTATCCAGTCTGTTTGATACTGTTGTACTTGAATGTACATGTAAGTAATATTTCCATGTGAATGCTATTTACTATTTCTCTACTGTCAAATTTCAGGTCTTAGTGAGTCCTTCCTTTACTCCTGATCAAGTTGCTGATGTTATGGACAGCATAATGCATACTCAGGTAAACTCAATGTCAACTAGACTGACTCAATAATAACTAGGTACAGAAATTTTTAAAAGAAACATCAAGTATAAATCCTAGCTGGTGCAAAGCAAACCAGCAGGCTATTTGCAGGCGTGACTGAGGAGGTCAGTTTGAGGTTATTAAAAAGAAAATCCAATAACGCCAGAAACCTTCCAGCTACTTGTGCCTCTGTAAATGCAGGCCTCACCTGATGAAAATATAAAATAAAGTTAGTAACAACAGTAATAATTTTGAATGACAATATATGAAAAGACTCATATTTTTGAACTACACCATCACCTTGATAAATTATTACTTGCACATTTTTCTTGGGGGGGGTGGGTAGCATTTGTATGCCAGCCTCTAAGGAGACAGTGATTCTCAAACCCTTTGCTTTGTATCATTCATTCAGAATATATCACGACATCATCTGTACCTGGAGTTTCTGCGATCATCAATTGTTGGTCTTTTAGAAGCACCTGAAAAATCAATGGAAGCAACAATATGGACAGGGTTTTTATTTCTTAAGGTAAGGCAATAAAATTATCATACAGACTGGGTGAACATGTCATCTCGTCCATATCTGTTAGGTCGTTAATTCTATCCATTAGGTAAGTGTAGCTGTAGCCGCGTTTCAAATACCCAACATACTGTACATGTATCACATTAAAGTTGTACTGGCTGTTACAGTGCGACTACTATAACCGGGGTCACCTAGACAAAAAATTAGATGACAGGAAAATAACAATACTCGGCAGTTCCGAGAAAGTTAGTTATCATTCCTTATTACCACGGAACGAAATCAACAACATGGGTCGAAATCAACCAATTGCAATCTACAGACGTGACCTTTGAAACCCACTGAAGAAAGCCTATGTTTTCCGAGAGGTTCGTTAAAGTGTTGATGTTGGCCTAAAAAGTAAATGCCATTCATTATTATTTTTGACTTGAGGTCGCATGTTTATTGCAATTTACCAACCTCAAATATTGATTATTCTAATAGTAATTTTTTTGCATGTGTGATTGTTCTGCCCAGATTAGCAAATGCTACTTGCAGACCAGTCTCTTTGTCTTGTATAATTTGCAGTTATTTATTACAGTAAAGTTGAAGTTGAAGTTGACCTTTTACTTTGTTGTAAAATGTTTGATATCAATATGTAAATTTTGATTCCAGTAACTTATTGTTTTTTTTTTTGATGAGCTGTCGATTTGTCGGAACCAACACCAGTTGCTGTTATTTCCCTGTAATCCCATTGGTCAACCTTGTCCAAGTGGCCCCGGTTACAGTAGTCGCACTGTAATTGTCAACATTATTCTTAGGATTTATTTAATGAAGCAGTGAATAATTCAACTACCAGTACACAAGTAGGACCCTCATGTAGACTATAATTTTGGGATGATGGTAAAATCCAAGACCGGTTTGCTCGGGTGCCGAGACCTTTGATTTTAAAACCCTAGACCTTATAGCGAAGACTGTGCGAGATTGAAAGCATGAACACGCAAAAGCGAGATTTACCATGACTTATGGAAAGCGCGCGTCGGACAAAGATTTAAAGATCAGATCAAAATTTTCCAGTACACTTGCAGGGTTCGTTCGGGTCATGGAAATCCGGGAAAGGTATGAAATTTAGGAATTTCATTTTCCAGGTCTGGAAAGGCATGAAATTCAATTGTCGGTCCTGGAAAGTCATAGAAAGTAAAAATTATGTGTGGTAGATCCGTTATTGCATATGTCAAAGCAAGGACAACGTGAGATAGAGACGAGTAATTAAACGACGCGAACAGCATGATTTTTGGTGGACACCAGAGCCTGTGTCTTTTAAACTAAGTTAGGTAAAAAAATACCCTAAACAAGGAAAGGTTTTTCGAATGTGACAGCTAAAGTTAAGGTCATGGAAAACGTAAAAGGGGCATTAAAAAGTAAGTCATGGAACGTGAAGGGCTCAAAAGGGTGGGAAGCCTGCCTTGATTTTCTAGGTACTAATTTAAAACTGTATCTTGGTTGTTTCGTTAAAGGTTCCAATAGTGATCCATCTGTTAGAGAACAGATCTCAGCTGAGTGTTCAGCTACAGGCTTCTCCTGGTGAACACTCCACAGTACATAGTGCTTTTAATCAGTTACTGCAGTTTGGTCCTCTGTTGGATGATGTAGATATTAAACTCAGGTTAGTTTTGTACTTATATAATAATGAAACACTTCACAACCGTAAACATTGTCAGCCAGAGTGCGAACAGTTGCCTGCTGACATGTTGATGTTAGAAGTAAACGTTTGCGGATAATCTTTATACTGTCGTGATTATTAAGATATCTACCAGATGACTAATGGATCCGATGTGAAAATTACATTGTTCAAGGTAATAACGGATACAGAAAAAGCAATTAACAAAATTAATGTATAACAGTGACCCAGTATCAACTGTAGTCACATGAAAGATTTTGCAATGTTGCATGCGGTTTCATTGCCAGTAGACCTGTAGATGTCATGTGATCCCAAAGTAGCCAATTCGAGTTCCAATGTTGGGAGACAAATCCCAGCTACATAAAAAATTCATTTGTCGCTCTCAGTTCATTTCCGTGTGATAATTAAGATATTGACTTCTTTGATTATTACATGTACCATACACGACCTGTTTTAACACTGCGAGTAGTCATGTCAAAACATTGCATTCATCATTTTCACACAGACCATATTGCACCTTGTTTAGCCCCCAAAATTTTGTTTAATGTTTTTCTTCGATTTCTCTTGGGACGACTGTAATACCAAGGACAAATTAGAAACAATGCTTATGCAATTTTTTTTTGGTGAAGAGGAAGGGAGTAAACAAGGTGCGTTATACATGTAGTCTGTATCACACAGACCATATTGCACCTTGTTTAGACCCCAAAATTTTGTTTAATGTTTTTTTTCGATTTCTCTTGGGACGACTGTAATACCAAGGAAAAATTAGAAAAAATGCTTATGCAATTTTTTTTTGGGCGAGGGGGGAGGGGAGGAGTAAACAAGGTGCGTTATACAGGTAGTCTATGTCTATGTGAAAATGGTGAATAATCTGCTAGGCTGCATTTAATAATTGTGATTGCAAGAGCAAAGCCTAGTGTTAAACTCACTATAATTCTTTATTTCAGATGCAACTGTTATAAAGAAGTTGTCCTACAGTATTGTAAGGGACTCAATCAAGAGACTACAGAGAGAATGGAACAACTCATCTGTCAGAGGTTTGTTTTGTCAACAAAATTTATGACATAGTTTTGCAAAAAAATAAAAATAAAGAAAAACTAACCAAGGAATAAACCAAACGGAAACTAACAGAAACTTCCGTGATAATTTTCAATAACGATGTTTTTCTAAACAAGAACAAGACCAGGGGTCAAGGGTTTTAACAAGGTTAGGGTTAATTCTTTATACACCTGTAGCTAGCAGGCGCTGACCGTAGCCTTCGACACGACGCTATATTGCCACCACTATATTTCAATATACAACCCAGGGCTCGACGTTGCAACCCGTGCGGTCGCCAATGCGACCAGCTTTTACTCAGTGGCGACCAAATTTTTACGCCTGGTCGCCAACCTGGCCCCCAAGATAGGTGACTTTCTTCTTTGGAAAAACGTGCACTAACGATAATCCGTTATCCTTCACAAAACTAAATCCATTAATATAATTTTTGGCGACCAGAATACTTGTTCTGGCGGAAAAAATGAAAACTTGGGGGCCAGCTGGCCCCAAGATTTTTTCCTGAAAGTCGAGCACTGCTGAACCGCAACTTCGTTTCCTGGCAGCGGCGCGGCAGTCCAGCTGTTAGGCATGAGTGAACTCAAAAAAATGGTTAAAGAGTTCACGACCATCTGAAGACGAAATAGCCAAATATACTGTCTAAAACGGACCGTGACAAATGCAAAAATGCGCAAAAAATGTCATCTCCATTTTTGGAATAAAGCTTCTGTGCATATTCTGAAACAGTTTTAAGAAACAGGCAGTAGGCAGTTGTTTTGAACTAAAGAAATTCTACCAGGAGGTAACCTTGTTAAGAACTTGGAAATATTTTGAATAAATAATAAACCAATTTTTTAATTCGGCTTTCGCATGATCTGAAAAATTAAATATATCTTGGAGGCTGGTTTCCATCTCTGCCTATATAATAAGGACGTCGCTTCTCGTATTTCTGATGATAAGGTGTTCCACAACTGACTACTACTGTATGAAAACCTTCCTTAAAAGATCATGTTACTTAGTTAACAGTCAGTTGTGGTTACTTTACTTTGCAGGCAAAAAATGTTATCATCTGATCATCGCGAAGTTCAAGAATTGTTGGAAAGCCAGACGGCATTAAATCACCCTGCCCATCATGTCCAAGATGCGGGTAAGTTAATAGTTCTGAAAAAGATACTATTTAACAGTTGAATTTACCTGAAGGTTGTGGCATACGCCAAAAGCATAAGCTAAGCTTTTTGCTAGAAGCTCTCATAGACCACGCTCACGATTGCTTTCTCGAGCCCATTCTCGTTAACCTGAACCAGTTCTAGTTACAACCACTTTTATGAATTTCCGAGGTGGCCGCTTGTGAATGCTTTGCCGACTTTCTGAAAAAGAATTTCTTTCATGACGTATTCATCGAAGTGTGTGATTTTTATTGCAGAGAACAGAATACAAGAAATAATTTCAGTGAGTATTAAGTACATTGTACATCCTAAAGGCCATTCATAAGAAATTTCAGTGCGTTTGCTTGCCAAGATAAGAAACGTGCAGACCGTTAAAAACTAATTTTTTCCGTTGCTGAATTTCTGAAACTTCTTGTATCATTACGTATTTTCGATGCTGAAGTTCTCATACTTCTTCCACCATTAATTATTCGATATCCTAGATCTTTTTTGTCCTATAAGTCACGAAATAGGCTGTAATGATGCTAAACCTGCTTTCTTTCAACGAAAACATGAGTTTTTAAATATTTCTCCTGCTGGTAAGATTTTGAGGACATGCTTTCCACTTTCTTACAAACTATACAATATTAATAATAGGGATGAGGCCTGCGGCAGCCCTGTCAACCAGTCTATTCTTGTGATCATTTCCTTATTCTCTTAATTCTAAAAGCGTCAATTTAACAATGTAATGATCGGTCAGAACGTGAATTTATACATTCTCGAGCAACCCAATTCTTCAATTCTCTAGGCAGGTTTTCGTGGAGCTTAGTGTTGGTAATGTTCTTAATCCACCTTAAAATAAATGTATAAACCTTTTTTTATAATCTAGTTGTATTCTTTCAGGCTCTGGAGTCTGATCTCAGCAGTCGGGATGAGAAATTTCTGGCTCCTCTTCTAAATTTGGAGAAGTTTAGGTGGATGACAGTTGCAGCAGCAAGTGTGGGAAAACTACCAAACCTTATTAGAGGACTTGTTAAGTACGACTTTTAAAATACCTTTTTAAAACGTTTTCACAGGAAAGGGTAATAATTTTGTATAAAATTATTATCCTGACTGTGTTTAGTGTGTATGTGGAGACTTCTTAGGAGAGTGCGTAGCGTTTGATTTGATGGTTTAATAGAAAAGGAGGTGCGATTTTGCTCCATGAAAGCCCAAAAAGGACTTGTGTTATACGATGCAGTCTTTCACTTAGGCTAAATTTCGAGGTATCATTTGTTTGACTTCTTACTAATTAGTACTTAATGGGTTATTCTTCCATTTTCAAAGTGCTTCCACTCTACTAATTTAGGGGTATCCCTGCATTGCTCAAGATGTACCTTTACTAAAATTTAACAGACCGTGGTTGATCAACAAATCACTTTATGGGTTTTCATGTGTTGTTTTAAGGAGCAAGGATTGGCACAGTTGTTTAGTGCGCAACCGTCTGTGTTAGAGGTGTCGAGTTCGATTCTCAAGCTATGCGCAAACGGACAGAACGACTCCAAACAATTTCGGGACCTGCAGTGTATCGTGGGAAGGATACAACCCGTAAGACTTTGTGAACTCCAAGGAGACCATGTGTAATGAGCGTGCGAGGCCCCAACAATGTTATCAAAACTGTGCAAACGGATCCAACATTGTTGCGCTACGTGTCGGCCATCACGGAACAAAAGAAATGTAGGGAGTTGTTGGCTCAAAAGTTTGACGGGTTTTCAAACTTTGCGCAATAATTCCAAACAACACGCAACAACATGCAACAGGGTGAGTAAACGGACGCAGCATGTTACATTCAACAGTGCTGGGAGTTGTTGGCCAACAATGTTGCGTCCCTTCGCACGGGGCTTCAGGTGTGACCTTAAATCCCTTTTTCGATTTCTTTCTTCACCGTGTAGCTTTCTATCTATTTCGGGTGCGCCCGCACCGTTTTAACAAGTCTGTCCCATTCCCGTCTGTTGGCCATGACAGGTGAATGATCCTTTCTCGTAAGACCAGTGTCACACTCTGGTTGGTCAATGAGCGTCTGCCGTGTTTTGGTTCCCAAAGAAGTAGTTGGGAAACAATCTCATTCTTGCCTCTCCAACAGTGGCCACTTAACTGCATACCGACGTTGGAGGTTTTTTGAAATTGAAGGCAGGTCCCCATAGAGCTCCTTGTCAGACTATGATCTTCCCAGCTTACGTTTACGTGTAGCTTTAAGTAGCTTTTAATTCCCGTAAAACGGAGCACTATGTAAAAGCAGTTACCGTACATGACCTAATAAACGCCTGGGGGTCTGTTTAATTTTAGGGGTCCAAGAGGGGGCGTTTTTAGATAGGAGACGTTTAAAAGGGAGAGGTGGTTATTCTCACGACTGTAACAATCTCAAAAAAACTAATATTCTTTCGGCGAAAATATCAAGAGCGTCTGAAAATAGGATTCCATCAATTGATACGTATAGGCTGTCTAGAGACCACATAGCTTTTTCAAATCCCATTCGACGTCAGAATCTTGGCTAAGTGGTTATAGTGTCGCCATCGTTAGTCTATTCTTACTTTGAACTTAACATTGAACAAGATGAAATATGCAAACTCTGATTAATCAAGCAAGAAACTGAATGAATTGAATGATTTTGCTCCTTTTTGTTAATTCCTAGTATTTTGGATTAATTCTCACAGTCTATTAGACAGGGACGTTTATTAGAGAGGGGCGTCTGATACAACTTAACGGCTTCGAGGGGCGTTTATTAGGGAAGAGGCGTTTATTTAGAACTGGGCGTTTATTAGGTCTTTTAAGGTATACGTTTTGCACTTGCAAAAGTAAAGCAAGTTGATGTTTTGCGTAAATGTATTCAGTGACGATATTTTTGCTTGCTATTTCATTTCCTGTAGAGTGACTGATCAAACTGTTCATGCTGCCACAGACATGGAAGATGGTTAGTTTAAAAAGAACACGTACACTGTATACTTTGCACTTATGATGGGCTGCATTTGGCACAAAAGAATGTTTCTAGGGAGGTTTATTTCCAGTTTCAGAAAAAGATAGCTTCTCACTCTGCCAACCAGCTCACTTCTTATCCCTAGCGTTCCTCTTATTTTATTCTCGTGTCACTTCCTTTGCCGTCTCGTACGCTTTGAAAAGATCGACTCCACGAGTGACTGCTTAGTCTATACACGGCTCTTTCTTTGTGTCGTCACGAAACGCTTCTCCCAACAAACTACCTTGAGGTGAGGAGCGTTTCGTGACAACCTTAAAAAAACTGCGTATAAGAGGAATGACAGCTGTGCAGGCTAAGCTTTTGGGAATAGGTGTTGCGAGACGTGGAAAATCATACAAAAGAATCCATGATTGCATTTGAGTTTTTGCGTCTGTTTTGCAGTTAAAAGAGGAAATATCAGAGGAGAACTGTTCAACACATCGTTTTTGCTTTTGTGTCATATTGGGCAGGTGTATGGCCGAAAGGTGTGTACTTTATTAGCAGGGTAACGAGGTGAAGAGTTTCCTCAGAGGATTATTCATATTTGATGGAATTGATCATGTAATAATAATCCCGCGTAGCTGGCGGAATTGTTCGTCCTCGCAAGTGACGTTTTGGTAGCGAAGCCGCCACTCGCGCCGCTTTGCCAAAAATTTATTTCAAAGCGTCTCTTCGCCATTCTCGGCGTGGATTCGCAACTCCTCTGCCTTAATACGCGCACTGACGGTATGATCTCCGCCAACTACGCAGGCTAAACCATTCAATGACCAATGCACTCTCCATCTAGGGAGCTGCACTTGTTCTCAGCTGAACCAATTTTCACAGCGGTGCCAATCAATACGTAAACCGTCAAATAACGCGAAAACTTTACGTTTCAGGTGATTTTGGATGTCGTAAAGACTCGTACACCAACTCCGTTCGTTGTGGAGTGGATTTCACGTTACATACCTGACATCGAAAAGTGGAGAGCTTTTATTCCTGATACACAGCTGCAGTCAACAAACCAAGCTGCAGTCAATGAACTGCTAGATCAATTCTTCAGTAATTCAGCCTTCCCTGCCAGGTACTACTGCAGTAGTCTTGTAGCTGGTATGTAAGTTTAGAGGTTAATACTAGGAAGTCAAAGCAATGACGTTTTTCAGCGACGTACGTCAACCGGAAGTGGACTTTTTGCATTCTTGGACAGTGGTTTTGATCAGATATTTGCACGGGCAAATCGTCTCTAAAAGAGTAAAGACAATTGGCAATACAAATTTACATGAGTGAAGGCATGGCCTCAGTTTCGTTCAGTGAGAAACGTCTTCGCTTAAGGTCCCTTATATTGATTTACTGTGCCGACCGATGATAAGAAACGAGAAAGTTTCTTCCTCTGTTTTTCAAAGCTGAATTGTTTGTTTGGTTTTTCGTCGAGAAAGTGTCGCAAACGGATTCATCGATGGCTGCGTTAGATACCGGCTCTTACGGCGAACTAAAGGAAAAACCTTGTAACAGTTCATATTTGTAGTATTCGTGTTCTTCCACTGCCGCTATAAAAAGCAAATACAGCTGCTAATATTTAAGTTATACTGATCTTCAAAATTTGTTCTTGGAAATTTCATACCCTGATTTCTTTAAGGTCGAAAAGTTGTGCTGACAAGTGGACATGAGTGTTGTAGGTTGCCGTGAAAGGTTATCATTTTTGTTCAACTTTTCATTTCTTTTACTCGTCAGCCAAGTAAATTGGGATGAGCACTGTGTGAACGTGGCCAACGCTATGCATCATGTGATGAAGGCTTGTCAGTGGGAGTCCAAAGCCGTCACCCCTGATCATGATGAATTACAGGTACTGTGAATCAGTAATCAGCCCCATCATGGTTGTTAACCTTTTTATTTAGGTGCTGGCAATTGTAGTCTTAAATAAGCGACAGGTAGTTTGTTGCCTTTAATAAGTTACAGATAGCGTTAACTAGTAGTTAGTCTCAGGTAATCCGTATAATCAGCTTCAGATAAATGAAATCTGCAGACGGTTACGGTTAATAATAGCTACAGTGATTACACTCTTTAGTAGGAACATTGTTAAATATAAAACATAATCATGGATGATGCGACGTACGGATGTACTTCGGTAATAAGGACTTACAGACAGTGTCAATGTGGTGTCCGTGAAAAGCGGGCTATTGAAATAAGGTTGGGGCAAATATTATTTTATTGAAAAAAAATATATATCAAATCAATAATAGACAGTTTTATTTATTCAAAATATTTCTCCGTTTGTGATTGGTTTAAATCCCCTGGCTAATTCAAGACTTGATTTCCTTGTTCTAAGATTTCTTCTGTATTATATCGTTTGTAAGGAGGCATATCTCCCTCGCGGTTTTTTTTTTTTTTTAATCAGGCTTTTTAGACCTTTTTAAATCTTTGGGGGCTAGTTTCAGAAAACACGTTAGGATATTTAGTTGTGTAACAAAGCCATGGAAGACAACTTTTCGACATTTCCGCGCTTTGACTGTCTATCAGACCTCTGTTCTTGCTGTTCATTTCTCTGTATTATCATACCGTTCTATTGAAAGCCTGTTAGCAAACTCTTTGTCCCGCCGAGCTGTTTAAAGACTGTCGTATTAATCTTCATTGCCTTTCTTTGTAGAAACTATTCGAGCTGCTGAAGTACGAGGCCCCTGCGCTGGCAGTCTGTGCTTGTTCATGGTGCTGTGGACATATCCATACCTTAACGGCAGAAGAGAGAAAACATCCGAAACGGTAAAAAGTTAACGTCTCTCATAACCGATTAAGACAAGCCTGAAGCATTTCTTTTGATACCAATACAACTTTGGCTTAAACCTACTTCGCTCCCTAAGAATTATTTCAAAATGAATTTTCCGCCTTATTGTAACTTTATCCAATGCATAAAATACGTGTTATACATTGTTATATGGGACAATTTGTTGTGCTGAAGACACAGCCGATCTCCAAGAGGACTTGTATAGATTAGAAGATTGGCAACAAAAGTGGAAGATGGAATTTAATCCTTCAAAGTGCAAGATCATGTGTTTTACAACCAGGAGAGATCAACCAAAGCGGGAATATGTATTTTGTGGACAAATCCTAGAAGAAGTGGAATCTCACCCTTATTTGGGGGTAGTGCTCGATAACAAAATGAGGTGGTCACCACACATTGAAACAATCACATCTAGGGCAAATAAGGTCTTGGGACTTATCAAGCGAAATCTGTGGAATTGTCCAAAGTCAGTGAAAGAAACCGTGTATATGACACTTGTGAGGCCAAAACTCCAGTATGCCTGTAGCGCATGGGACCCACATTACCAGAAAGATAAAGCCGCTCTAGAAAGGGTACAGCGGAAAGCAGCCCGCTTTGTCACTGGAAATTACGATCGAACAACGAGCGTGACGGAAATGCTGCAAGACCTACAGTGGGACACACTTGAAACAATGAGAAGACACGCAAGGCTCTCCACTATGTACAAGATGTGCCACGGCCTCCTAGATGGGAACTGGGGGGATTATTTGAAAACAAGCAAAGAAAGGAGAACCCGGGGAAGCCATGATTTTAAATTTATTGTACCGAAAGGACATAAAGATATTTTTAGATTTTCTTTTTTTCCCAGGACAATAACTGAATGGAACAAACTTCCAGAAGAAACTGTCTCCAGCCAATCCCTCTGTATTTTTAAAAGCAAACTAATTTAGTTTTCTTTTTATCAGTAGTTTTTTAATAGTTTTTAATAGTTTTTTTAATAGTTTTTAATAGTTTTGTATATTCTAGTATAGTTTTATTTATTATTATCTTAGAGTTGGCGTGATGTCCCAAACGATTTTGCCGACATAACGATATTTAGATTTAGATTTAGATTTACGTGTGTATTTAACTCTTATCCTTCCATGCACTGTCATGTGAATCGTAGGGAGTAAGCCAAAGTGATTATAAGGTTTTACGTCGCTTCTTCGTTTTGGAAGTAAATGTTAGGATGTGTACAGAACTTAAAAAACTAAAATGTTTTCACACCTCTTGTCTTATTCCCAGATTAGTCAGTTTCCTTTTGAGACCGGTCAATCCCAAAGGGTTTCCCCAGGGATTTGTTGACAGGTAAGCCACTCTTTATAATGAATAAGATATTATAAGCCTTAAAATCTTCTGCTCTCAATAGTGGCCAGAGTCACACTCCAAGAGTAATCCCAAATTCTCTTTCATGCACACAAAATGTAGAAACTGAAAAGCGTATACATGTCCTGCCTTGTGAAAGTACTGCTGAAGAGGTTTCATTTGAATGGTCACAGCACAGGGCCCAAAAGTCACAACTACGATATTATTGGTGGTTTAAAAAGACCACTAACATCAGATAGCAGCGGAAGAGAAAATTTATCTGAGGAGGCCCCTCCCCTATCTGAGGCGGTTTATTTATTTGTTTGGCGGGGGGCGGGGGCGGGGGGAGCGCTTTTTACAGAGTGGCAGTTATTCGAGAAAATTCGATGGATGAAATGGAAAATTATTCAGTAAATGGTGGGTTATGTTACTTATCTTTTATTTATCCTGGTAAAGGTGTTCGATGCTGCTTGAAGTCATGGAGAGAATGTCACTGAGCGTTGAAGGAAAAGGTAACACGTATCAGTTAAGATTGTAAAGGAGAAAAAATTTCAAACATATCAAGATATTGTCAATTATACCGACCTAAATTCATTGACAAAACATTGAACCTTTTGGTCCAGCTGACACGTTCGCAGATTGAGCGGATGCTTTACTTGAATAATCGTAAAATATTCGGCGTGACAAGCTTGCGTTCCACTGGGGTGTGGGGAGTGTTAAGTTCTTGTGCCGTGCACTTCAAGCGAAACTTATCGGCGCGCGTTGGTGATCCTGAAGCCACCGAAAACTGTAGAGTGCAATAAACAAAGTACTCGGATACTTGTTGCTTAGTCAAAACTGGGATTTTTTAAACCCAAAACATAGGTCCAAGTTCACATGTGAGGAATCTAATGGTAGAAATAAATGATCTCGCTCATTAGCATTAGGTTTGTCTAATGAAAGGTTCGAGTTTTGACCCTGGCCTTTTCCTTTTTTGTTTTGTTTTGTTTTTTCTTTTTTGTCAGGTAATACGTTGGACTGTGGTAATCCAATTTTAGTTGGAAAACCTGTCCTACAAGTAAGTAGCGCGGTTATGAGCAACAGCTGTTAAAAAAGATTTTTTTAAACCAAATAGAAATTAAATATCAGCTAGAAAAATTGTGTTATTGATCAACTTTGTTTAGTTATACAGCCAATGTTGTAAGATACACTTCGTCTCTTCCCTCTTTTTTAATTCCTTATTACGTAATTATGTACTTTTTGTGAACTATAACAGTGTGATTTAAATAAAATAAGTGAAAAGAAAAAAAAGAAAAAAAAAACAAAAAACAAAGATTTTTAAACATATTTTAATTCGACAGCTTAGTGTAACGTTGAAATCTCGAGCAGCCCTGCAGAGCGTGAAGGCACTGTTACGTGAATTTTTTGTGATGTTGCAAAGTAAAGTTAATGTTTTGAAATTTTTGTCTGTCGACAGTCTCTGACAAAGTTGTTCATGGATGTTGTCAAAGTGCGGTGTCTGGGCAGTAACAAAATTGAACAGTTTAGATATATTTTAACCGTTGGAGGAAAGGAATGGTTCATTTACAGTTTAATCAAGGTAATGAAGGCTGTCCTTATGTTTCTTATATCTTCTGCCTCAGCACAATTACTAGCCTTGTTTTTCCATGTGCCCTTAGGCTGTGAACAGCAAACAAAAATGATAGCAACATGAGTAGTGACAGCCATTCACTGTCTTGTCACGCAAAGCTCCTCGGAACGTTGCGTGACGTGACGACAAAATGAGCTGTTCACGAGGACATTATACCATCCAATTTTTTTATGAACGCGCCGCTGAGGTGGAACCAATTTTTATTCAACGGACGTGTGCTTTCAAAAATTGTTCACAGAATTCTGTTTTGTATGGCGCAGCATCTTTTTTCTCGGTAATTCATTTTGATGGTTTGGGGTACCAACGTTGCTGAGGAAGGATTGTTAACAGCGATCAGTGTCTTTCTCTGTTGTGCATTAAGAGATTCCCGACTTGAAACACGGCAGACTGCAGCGTCCACTGTTGTTATCTTTGTGGTTGCACATTCTTGTCTCCGTGGGCCAGAGAGTATACTACTTACAAACCTTTTATATTTAGTTCATGAGCTCTTTCTTTTCTTAGAAGTTTTTTTTTCTTTCCTTTTAACTAAAATGTTTTATTTTTTTATCAGGAGGTTATGAAATTCTCTCGGCACGACGAAATGATACGAGCAGGTAATTAATTTTTGTTTGCGTTTGGCACTACAATCTATTGTGGAGATCCTTTGTATTGTTATATGTATACTCGAATTTTTTGGTGAATTATCTTGTATTCAACAGCTGACGTTGCCAGTTCTCTTCTGATGTTTGACGCCGAGGGCCTGGTGCCGTGTCTTCTTCAGCAGGTTCTACCACTGATCGTGAATCATGCAGACGCTGAAACAATTTTAGGAGATCCAAAGGTGTGTACCAAAAAATACTACTGTTACTCTTACTTTAAATCTCCCTTCACAGATAAGAATAATCCAACCAAGGATTTGTGACCAGAACAAAGGTGTCACTCACCATTTAAGGGAGAAAACTCCACTGCTGGTGAGCTTATCTCTGGACACTGTAACTACCAAGAGACATTCTTTACAGCATCAGTGGAAAATTTTACCGGCCACAGTGATCAGTTACATCCCTTTGGACAAAAAAAAATTCGTCCAAGAGAAACTGGCAGGAGTTACCGCATCAGTTAATACCATTATCCGCCATGACAATGATATGACCGTGACTTGTGTTACCATACCAAATCCCTTAGTTTCTATCCAAGGACCCCGATTGGGATTCTTCTCATTTCAGTAATCACTGATTTGTTGTTCTCGCTAAGTTCGGGGAAAAGACAATGGATGTTCACGTGAGAGCTATATTTAACCCTTTTACTTCCAGAGTGCTTGATGGAGTTTTGTAAGGTGACTAACTTTTGAGTCAAATGAAAGCTCCCTGCCTGTTTCATATGATGCTATTTGTTTCTCACAATTTCAGTTAATGAAATTTGGAAATTTGGTCCAAATTTGCCCTTGGGTACATGTGGCAGTGAAAGGGTTAAATAGATAATTGTGCTTTTCTCCAGGGCTGGGCTCTTGCACGGATGGCAGCACACGCGGTGTGCCTGGGACTGAATATTGAACTGACGCGATCAAAACAAGATTCAAGTGATGAAGGAGTTGAACGGTAAGGAGTGTCGGCAAAATTCAAAATGTGAAACATGAACGTTTTTTTCTTTTCTCGTAAGTAGGCAGAAAAAAGCAAGCAAAAGGAAAATCATAGTCAAACTATAGAAACGTCGGGCCCCCAAAAATGAAATAGCAATACAATACAATTTTTTTGGAAGATGAAGCCCTCTCACGTTTTTTTGAAGGCTTGTCAAAATAAGCACATCATCTCGTATAGCTTACTTTAGGATGACTCCTTTGGACGAAGACGAAACCGCAGAAGACCTTTGTTTACTAGTGTATTTTTCTCAATGAGGCTTCTGTTAAGTGACTGAAGTTAATTGGCAAGGGCGAAGGAGGAAAGGGCAAAAAGAATGTTAGACTCATACCATGAACCCCAGAATAAGATGGCCAGGTCAGTAATATTGCCTCCAAGATATGTGACGGTCATTTTGCTTGACCGGCCACTAAACATAAAAGTATACCTTTTTTTCGTGTATTTGGCTCGTGTCCTTTCTTTGCGTGGTAAGTAGTAAAGAGCCTTTCATCTTCCCACGTTCATGTAGATTTGTTCATTATTAGGCTGTGGATCATTGTGACCAAAAATATTTGGAATAAAAACTCATTCGTGTCTTTACAGACACTTGTTGAACATGAGTATATTTGCATTTTCTTTATAAAATTTTATTTTAATGGATTTTTCTAAACATAAAGTCTTTTCAAAGCGAAATAATTTAGCAGGATTAAGATGCAAGGGCAAGCATTTTACATTTTATTTCTTTTTTATGTTTGACCTCAGTCCCGCAAAGATGAAGCGACTAGAAGGTTCATCTTCATGTATTCAACAGGCCTTAGGTATGATCGAGTCTTGTGTTTGGTATAGCAACTAACAAAGTTCATATATAATCTTAATCAGTGTTTATCAGGGAAGCTTGTGTTGTTCGGAATCTGATTATAATTGTTCTTTCTTTTGTTAGTTCGCCTTTGTGAAGATTTTATTGCTATTATTAAATCTACTGAGGTGGGTCCTGTGCCAGCATTGCTGGTTTCCTTCCTCCAACAAGCTGCTGCCGGCACTGGTGCAAATGTTGGGCCATTATCGGGCTATATACCTCAAGACTTGGTAGGTCAATTATCTGTTGTCCTGAAATACTTAAACAAACGAGCAGAAAGCTTAAAGAAGCCTAAATTAACTCAAGCTAATCTGGATTTCTCCTTCAATGCGCACAAATTATTGTAGATTCGACTTTTAAAATCGAAAATCTTACTTGTAAATTTGGCGCCAATATAAACAACCAATTTCAGTAGCCAAACACCATAGCCTGCTACTGACTATTTTGAGGTGCAGGTGAGACTGGGTCGTCGTTGTCTCGAATTGTACTATGGAAACGTTTCAAGGTTGTACAGGAAACTGGGTCAAAATTAGTCGCTTAAAAACAGTCCCATAGTGCAGCCAGTCTATACAAAACAGGCCCAGTCTCAAGCAGAACCTCACAATAACAATGAAATAAAAGCATAGTACATGTGGTCATGACATGTCACATTAAATTTTAGCGGTAGCTAAACAAGGAAGGAATTTTTTTTGAAAGGGCAGAACACATTTAAAGAACCGTAGTAAATGGCCACACTACTGTCTAAAAAATGAGCAAGAGTAGCAAAAATACTGCTCAACGGATGACAACGACAATTGAAGGATGTCTGCTAAAGTATACATATCTTCAAAAACTGGCGAACGGTTGTTGACTGGGTTGGAAATATTTTGAGTAATAAAGCAATTGGAATCGGCTTTCGTATGATATGAAGACTTATGCAGATCCTGGAGGGTGTTATCCTTCGAGGCCGAGAACCCTCCTCGATCTGCTTAATTCTTCATATTATACTGAGCCTCACCCAATAATTTGTGATTATACTGTTTATCTTCAGATGGTTACGAATAGACACCTTTTGCGGTTTAGCGATACGTTCATAATACATTCTTTTTAACTAACATTTGACATGTTGGTACTTCAAGGTTACGGAAGTACTGGAGTTATCTCCAAGTCTGCAAGGTACACCTGAAGTGCTTTTGGGTCTGTGCAATATGAAGACTACTGAGGGAAGACAGCTTTGTGCCAAAGCTCTTTGTAACAACATTTAGCCAATAGGCCATCTGTCAGCGGCTAATACCTTCTGTGCCTTCAAAAGATTGGGCCGTTTCTGGTCAATTCGCATGTAAATTAAATAAAAGAACTCTTCATCGCGCTCATAGTTCTTCATGAAGATATTGACTCACGTGTACAAAGTCATCTTTTGTGAGGATAACAAACCACGCCTTCTTTTAATCAAGTTTTTAACTTGACCAGAAGACTAGTAATTTATTCAGTTAGCTTTTTAAAAGAAATCATTGTATAGAAAAAAACATCCCTTAAAAAACCGTTGTAAAAAGAGAATTAGATCAGTTAGCAATACTATAGAAGTAAAATACTCTGGGGACGTGTTTGAAGATGTTCTAAACACTCACAGCACGTGTTTAGTATCAGGTCTGAAACTCATCGCGCTTCTCGCTGGAAGTTTTAACCTTGATAAAACACAACTGTCTTTGTTTTGAACATGTCCTCATCGTATGTCTGCGAGGCAGAGGAGTCATGATACACAAACCTTTGTAATAATAAATGTACGAAATATACCTCAACGTGACTTCTTTTATTTTATTCCCTTAAACCCCTTGGAGCAAAGTATAAATTCCATTTTTTTTTTCATTCAAATATTTCCTCGTTTCTGATTGGCTCCAATTTCCCGGCGAAAAAATGGCGCTCAAGGTTATCCAAAGACGAAATGGCTGACTTTCTGACCAAACTTAACGGACGAAATGCAAAAATACGCGTATTAACGTATTATGCTGATCGATAACAGCCTCTTCGATCAGCAGAATCCTTCACATCTTAGTCTCATTCATTAATTGCTAAATATGACGAAATTCTTGTCTACCTTTTGATAAGGGAGAGCGTTTGGAGTTTCAGGTTACATTCGTTTCTCATTCACCTCTAGAGGTGCGCTAGTTAACCTGATGGACAAAATCTTATTGTGATTCCCCATACCCAATTTGAGAGGGAAAGGAAATGAGACAAGTGAACGCGCTAGAACCCAAAGGGCTACTTTCGACGTTTACAGCCCCCGATTTTTCGTAAGATCGGATCGGATTGTTGAAATTAGTCAACCTACAAAATTCAAAATAATAAAAAAAGTGGAACAGAATTTTGAGTTCGCAGCACGATAGACAAATGGAACTTTGGAAACGAGAGGGAAACCGCGAGACAAGTACGCGCACGAGAAAAGAGCTTTAATTTTTGCTAATTCCCACACACAGTCCAACACGAACGCCGTACTGACAGGTTCCCACTACTTTTAAATCGCCTTTTGATAAAATATTCTTGTATTTGTGTAATTTTCCAATGCGCTTTCTGATAGGTCAGTTACGTCTTAGCTACGTCTTTTTCTTTGTCGACACACACTTTAGAATTTTTAGAAGAATTTTTCCTCTTTGTCCAATATAGTGCATGTGGAAAAGTTCGACATGTACAGAAATTTTCTTGGTAATTTAGAACATAGAAAACGTTTACAAGAAGCGTTGAAAGAGTAACAAAAAAATGAGGAAAAGCAGTCCGATGAATGTCAATGAGGAAATACCGAATTTCAAAAGAAAGGTGCTTAACAGTTGTGATCACTACCGAGCGTTACGACGACGGGCTTTTTTCTTTGACATGGAAACGTCATGAATTCCATTCTGCCACAAAAAGGCAGTAAAGCTGAATATTAAGCGATGTCATGTTGGATAACAAGCTTGGGAAAAATGAGAGAAGCTTCCCTTTTAAGCATTCATCGGTTTGCCTTCATCACCAAGCCCTGGGCACGATTACCAGAGGGCGACAAACTTCAGCACTGAACCAACGCAGTAAACAAAAAATAACGAGGCAAAATGTTTATTGTAAAACTGTATTAGCCATAACAACAAAAATGATAAAATTACAAATCAAAGTAAAATAAATAAGTTAAAAGTAAAGCTATGCATCTTCTGATGTATATCGTGAAATAACATAACTTAAAAGACTCATGCTTTCATTTCAAGATGGGCCTAAAATTGACATTTTATGTAAACAAAGAAAAGAAATTAATTAACTAAGTCGGTTTTGATCTGAGTCAAGCTTTAAACTTGTATAAATTTCTCAAAGCACATAAATATTCACAAATAAAACAATCTTTCTTAATCTACAGTAAAACAATAAAAATAAACATCATAAGAAAATTAAGATAATTAATGGTGTTTTATGAAATTGTGAATTAGATTAATTAATTTTTCCGTCATCGAAATAACTTAAAATTTTAAGGTAACTATAATTTGGAATAAAAATTATTTATTTTATTTGGGATTAATTAGACGAGAACCTAACGCAAATACCAGCACTTTTTAAGTTTGCTTTGGATTTACCACTCTAATGTGATTGGCTAAAAGGCCTTGCACTCCTTTTTTACAGTAATAAGTAAATGCACATGCATTAGACAATAGACCCCTTTAGCTTGTTTGTTTTGTTTTAGCAATGAAGATCGTAGGGGAATTTACCCTTGTCTTTTCATAAATTATGCGTACATATGCACTCGAATAAAACGATTTTTTCTAGTCTTGAGTGGTACCACAAAACATACACACTAAAGAGGTCTATCATAACTTACTGTAATTCCCGCGATTGAAACTGACCACAGGTATTTGCATTAAGTTCTCTTGACCAATTTCAGTGCCCTTGCTACGGGTTTCATAAAATTGAAAACCACTCTGTTTGCTACATACCTAATTAACAAGTCTAATAGTATTTAAACCAACTTAATAACTTACCTACACGCTATTTACTTGACCAAACAGATGGAAGGTAAACATGACCATAAACATTCCTGACTTTTTCACAAGGCTTTCCTGTGCACTGACTGATCCAAGAAAAATCGCCTTGTAATTGCTTAGAGTAATTATACTAGCATTGTTAAACCACTATACACAGTCCGCATTTGTAGGATTCAACCATGGTCACGCATTCTCAATTGGTACAATCAGTCACGCACTCTTGTAACGGTAATCATACTTAGGGTGACCGTCGAAAGCAACTTGCCGTCCATTTATAAGCGACTGAAGGAGCCACTCTAGTGACACCATAGGAATTCCCAGCATAGAAGCGGCGTGCTTGACACTAGCCGGGAGTTTGCTATTCTCGCATACGATGACATCACAATAGTAATCAAAACGGTTGGGAATTTTAGTTACCATCTTACATCCAGCCGCGAGAAGCACACTGGTCCAAGTGTCCCTGAACTGCTGGCTTCCGTGCAGAAAAACCTGTTTAATAAGATAAAATGAAAGCAAGACATGTCAACTCTTAAAGCCCTAAGGCAGCGACCACAATATAATTTCTACCCATTAAAGTCATGTTCAAATAAAGCCCAAACTAGAAAAGCATTTTGTCTACTCAAAAAAACTTGTTAAAACGGATTCTGAGATCTACAAATTGTCTCGAACCGCGGTTCAAACAACCGGCCCTAATTCGGCTCCATGTCTTAGCTGTTAAATTATTTCCATCAGTGAGGAGAATATTCGTCCTGATCTAGGGCTGCAAGGGTAAACAGAAATTCACTCGTCAAAAGGGAGGAGGCCTTGGTTGAGAATTCTGCAAACTAAATCGTTTAGTAAGAATACCCGTAAACTCAGCGAGGTGCGTGTTCGAGTGAAACAGATATAGATCAGTGCGATTTTACGTGTGCTGTTTACACGGTTTAGAATTTTCTGAGATGATTTTTCGGAAAATATACTCATACTAAAGTCACGCGAGTTCTCATGAAAACAGAGCCTTGCTTATGGACTCACCCGTATGTTGCCCAGAATGTTTCTGCGAGGACGACATTCCACGATTTCTCCCTCTGCTTCCAAACTCTCACCAGCAGGTAACAGATAACGTTTGTAATCCAGACGCTTATTGCTTGAGCAGCAGTCATTTATCCACATATGCGACACACACGGAATTCCAGAAGCGAGAGATTGGAAATACTTTTGAGTACGCTGATGTCTATCAGAAATTAAGAAGCATTCTGCTCCAGAGATCTGGGATTGAGGAAATGCGGAGAGGACGACGCCGCCCCCAGCCTCAATCTGGCGCTTAATGATGTCACGATTAAATTCTATTCTCTCGGACTCACTGTCTGATTCATCAGGTTCAGTTCTGTCTCTTAAACTACCAGTTACAAGGAATGCAAACCCAGCGAAGACATTCCTGTTGGTCGGCAACGGGCTTATTGCAGTCTCCCTGTCGTCGTCCTCATTTGTAACCATTTGTTTACGCGGCGAGCTACGTGTCACAGGTCCTGGTTCGTCACTTGAAGATTTCAGAGGAGATTTCGAGGCATACGAAGCTGATAACCCTCTTCTTACCTGACGCCGTTTACCAGTTTGGGCAGTCTGCTCGTCTGAGCTAGTGTCACTTTCTACTCCAATTCTGTGCCCAGCTCGCCTAAGCTGGGCTTTAGCTTTATGACTAGCGGACTTATGGGTAGACTTGGGCGTTACGTCATTGTCCTTTGAAGCTTTTCCTTTCGGACTGGCACGTGGTAAAGGCTTTTTGCCACGCCTCTTATCTCCACTTGAACTCTTACTGGTGTCCTTGGAGCTCGTGTCTAACATAGTATCTTTGCCTGCTGCACTTCCTGACCTGGTTACGTTGGGCGTACTTAAATCACTACTCCCCGTGCTTTCGTCTTTCCTTAATCTCAAGCTGTGAGCTCCGATACTGACACTAGAGCCGCTCGTGACGTTTACTGAACTCTCACTAGATAAAATGGCGGCAGCTTGCTGTTCAGATAAAATAACCTTACTACGCGGAAACCTGCTTATTGCTCCACTCCGGGTCTGGATTTCATAGCCTCGCTCTTCACCGTCTCGGTAATAACCAACAATGACTCCTTCTTCGTAATAATCGTCATCGCCTTCGCCTTGAGCCATTACCCTTTGCCCTGCAGGAAGCAAGTCTTTTCTGATGATGTTCTCCCGAGGTGCCCTCCGTTTGTTTCCGTCGTCAAAAGTGACGAGATATCGTCCATTTTTGTACTGCTTCGTAGACACCACTCCTGGGTAAAAATAGCCATCATGCCACTTTGCTAATACTAGGGTGCCGGGAGTCAAGGAGGAGTCACTTGATGAAGTGCGCTGAAGAGCTGGTTCCTCTTCTGTAACCGGCACTGTCTCTTGTCTGGTGACCGCAGGGATTACACTCGCCGTCTCATCAGCGCTTTGGGGATGGTCAATGTTTTCCCTCGCTTCATCGTCACTACTCTTTGCTGACGCAGCCTCGGCTTCACCAGGTCGTTTAGAGGCAGCCTTCGCAGAAACAGGAGATTTCTTACTCTTTATTCTTGGAGAACTTCTAGGTTGTTGTTTTTTGTCTTTTTGTTTGAGTAATTTTGAAGTAACCATGGTTCGCGAGCCATCTACATTTGAGGATTCCACAAATTCATTGACTTCCTCGTTTTCCTTCTCCTCGCTTTCTACCTTCGGTCGATCATTCTCCTCGTATGTCAAAACTTGCACGACTTCACCCGACCCTTTATCGATTATACTCACAGTCACCATTCGTTGAACCTGAGTCGTAACGGTAGTAACAGTGCGAGTGTGTATTATTTGCCGATAGTGCACATCTTCTGACGAGTCCTTTTCTGGCATCTCCTCTACATGCAGTCTGTCATCTTCCCTCCGTGCTCGCTTGGATTGAGGTTCTTCGGGTTCCTCACTCTCAGAAGACCCGCTACTTCCTTCCGGGTGTCCACGTTTGGCGCTTAACGTTCCATGCAAATTATCTTGCTCTGTAGAATCCTCTTGCCTTTTGCTGCGCGTGGTACAATGCTCAACGAAAGAGGTCGACCACACAGCGCTTTCTATGTCTCGAGTCTGACCTTGTTCTCCCCTCTGCATGAACTCTTTCTCTCCTTCGCTTCTTGGAGATGATCTCCTCGCTCTCTTTCTAAGCGGCCCTGGATCTTCGTCTTCGGCAGTAAATGCAAACGGATCATCGTCATTATCGACGACCTCCTCTCTTTTCTTACCCTTCGCCATTGCTTCTCGAGCACGGCTAAAGATCGACCGTTGACGTTCGGGGGAGTCGATCTGTACATTTGATGAGCTTGCTCGTGACGGTGAAACCGACGGAAAGGCGGTGTGGAAACGAAATACTGGTTCTGAATTTTCCGAATCACTGAGTGGCGAACCGTGACGAGGCATTGAGATCGTCAGGGACTGGGGCCTAGCCTGGACCAAGGAGCTTGGTGGAGCTATTTTAAGAAACCGGAGACAAGTTGTTGGTCACCAAATTGAGTTTCTAAATGTTAAGACTGAATGAGATCTGGACTATGAAACAACTTGGTATAGTGCTTCTTTCTCGGTATGCTAATGACAGTAATAATGATATTAATAATAAGCCAATGATAACGACGACAGATAAGTTTTGGCTACGTTCACACTGCACGGGATGAATTTTCGGTCGCCTGCAAAATTTGACCAGACACTTGGTTCACACGGGACCGTTGAATGCTTTCGCTGTGTTCACACGGAACTTTTAAAAACGGCTGGTTCCGTGTGAATGGAACACCTAAACGCAAGAATTTTCAAGCGGTCGAAAATTCATGTGAACGTAATCTTACACAAACAAAAAAAACAACTTTGCACGTGTATCACGATTGTTTGTATATTTCTTCGCCCTCACTGCAAGACTACGACTTGAAAATGTCACCTACATTTTACAAAGTAAGTGAATGGGAATAATGGCGATGACGACTGAAAAAACGCTATGGGTTGATTTCCACTGTCGCGTAATTTTTACGTAGGTTCGTGCGTAAATTTACGGTCGAAAATAAAATATAGGTAATGTACAACCTCGCTCAACTTCACGTTTAATCTCAACACTTTTACATCTTGCCTCTATTTTATTTACGTGTTTAAAATTTACGTGCGTTAACGTGCGGAGCGAAAAACGCGCCAGTGGAAATCCACCCTAATTCTCTTTTTAAGCCACGTTGCCGTCGTCATCGCCGTCATTAGGGACCTTAAGCAAAGACGACGACGACGGCAGTGAAAACGTTGCTAAAAAAATGAATTTGCGTTCTTTCAAACTTAATCGCGTCTATTTGGACCCGCTCAATATGCCAAATGTAGGCGACTTTTCCTGGAGCTGAATTCTTAAGGATTTTATTCAAGTTCCAAAAGAGGAAGGAAAATTCGTCGTCGTCATGTCCACGTCCTCCATAAAACGTCAAATTAGGAGGTTTCACGTCGTAGTCGTGCAGTGGACGTCAAGGAAACGTACTAAAAAGCGTAATGCACGTGCAGAGCTGTTGTTTTGATCATTAAACCTATTGTTTTTTGAAGTTGTCGTCATCGTCGTCGTAGTAGTTGCTTAAGCTCCCTATTGTTGATAATGAACAACTCTGCAAGTGCAGAGTTGCTTTTTTTGCTTACTTAGGGCGTCTTCACATGAGCCCGGTTGACCGGGCTGGCTCGGTTACCGGGATGAATTTTGCCTTGGGTTCATATGAGAAATTTCAGCCCGGTTTCCGAGATGAGAAAAGGTCAAAGATCCTGGGAACGAGTTCTGGCGCCAAATTCGGGAAAAAAAGCAAACATGGCGAAACACAAAAATTTTAACTTTCGGGCTTTTCTTACCATCGGTAACTCTTAAAGCTGTATCACTGCAGTTAAATGGGATGCTTATGATGTGGAAAATACAGCAGGCAATGCAAGACGATGCCATCCGGACCGCCAGAATTCATCTCGCCATTCATCCCGGTAACCGGGATGAAGTGTTCATATGGCAATATTTTCAGCCAGATATCCGAGATATCGGTTGGACAAACCGAGATCTCGGGAACCGAGCCAGCCCGCCCTCTCATATGAACACATTGAAAATTTTACAAAGGATTTAGAGGTGAGGCGAGATCTCGGAAACCGGGCTCATATGAAGAGGCCCTTAAAAGCCCCGTCCACACGAAACCCGCTTATTTTTTGACGCGAATCAATCTTCCGCCCACCTGAAAAAAGTGAATCCGCTCACCAAAACTGCATCTTTTGGAAACCGCTCTCCACAGTGGTTCAGAGGCCTGTCCACACCAATCCGGAAAACAAAATATGCGGTTTCAATAATGTCCGGATTCGTGTAGACGGGGCGAAACCTCTTTCTTTCTAATGACGTCCATCACCATGACACAAAAAAACAAGCTGGCTACTACTTTCTATTTTTCATTAGTGAATCTTGGATTGCTTTCGATTTGGGCAATAAACAGATTTCTATTGCCTAAACAGATTTCTTTTTAGATCCGAAATCGGTCTATTTACTTTGTAAGATCAAATTTCTATTCTCAATGAAAAGTAACCACACAAAAGTTCTAGCCTCAATATTGGCAATTATGTGTCAACCTTTAATAAAAATTTTCACGTCACTTTTTAGAACTCAGCCAATCCAAAAAGTAAAAGCAAAATCCAAGATAACTTCTTATAAAGCTTGCGTTTTCCGCGCTTGGCGTCAATGGCATATCACTGCTTTGCGACTGTTTGGGTGAAAAACCCCGTGAAAATGCACGCAACATTGTTGGGAGTTTTTGCGTCTATTTGCACGTAGCTAAGAGTTTGACCGGTTTCAAACTTTGCGCAACAACACGAAACAACATGTAACAGGGTGTGCAAACGGACGCAACGTGTAACATCCAACAATGCTGCATCCGATTCGCACGGGGCTTAACAACACTTAAATGAAGACCGGTCTATTTTCTAGGCAAGGCTATTCGCTTTTTCAATTGTGAGGATAAAAATTTAACCCATTTACAATATACTGGTAGGTTACCTTGACTAGACATGCCAGGTGTTTCTGAGACCACTGGCAGTACTGCGTCTGGCATAATACTGCGTCTGCTACCCCTGTCCTCTGAGTCAGGTGTGCGGTGATGGGCAGGTCTGATAGGAGGTGGTGTAGTGGAAACTTGTGGTCTAAGCGGCTCCTTTGGTAAAGAGAAATGAAAGCCACCGCTTAGCGCAGAATCGCTTGAAGTTTCCGAAAATATTGTCGCCGGAAGTCGGGACTTTATTGGTTTTCTGGCAGGAACTGGCTTTTCTGGTGTACTCAACTCTGGTCTTGACACATCGATGGTATCTTCCTTTGTTAAAAGAGGAACTCGCACTGAGTCGTCAACTAAGACGGGCTCTACAGGAGCGACATCTTCAGTGGAGGGAAGGGGATCGTTTCCACTAACGACCTCAATTTCATTGTCACCCTTTTCTTCTACCTGCAGCGAAGAAACATGAGGAAGTGCGGGCCTTGTGGCTTGTTCCTTGTCTTCCACTGTGTGAGTATCTTTCACTGATGGCACCTCTTGCACACCTATGGGACGAACCAGTGACGCCAATATAGACTGGCTATTGGAGTCCTGTTTTGTTAAAGACGAGATCTGCTCCTTTTCAATTTGTTCGGCAGATTTGTCATCATTGACAACACTTGTAACCTTAATGACAGCAACTTCCTATAAAATAACGAAATAATTACGTGTATTGCCATAACTGTAAACACAAGTGCAATTAGCCATTATCAATTTAAGTGTTTCTTGATACGTCCAGTTTGTAACATGAAGTTACTACTCTTTTTTCCTAAATAACAAGCATCAAAAATATAGATATATATTCTTTACACTAGATCCTGAGTAAATTTAGGAATATTCCAAGTCAAAGTATTACTTGTCCAGAAAAATTGTTCTTCATTACATGTAAGACTAGGGTAGATTAGATTGAGGTTAATTCAGTTGCACAGACAACCTTAGCCTGCCTCACAGCACAGGAAAGTGTAAGACGGTTGTAAGAATACCGTTTTTCCTCAAATCAGCGCCCACGCTCTAATAAGCAAATAAGCGCCCCCCCCAAGGCCATTCGCCCCCCCCCCGAATAAGCGCCCCTCCCTTCTCCATCAACAGTTCTTAAATAGAAGATACATAAAATGATAATGTGAACTGCGGAAATACAAATTTAAATGAAGATATGATCGTCGCAGTCGCAATTGCAATTTAAGCAATTGCAAATTAACCCGAAAAAAAAAATTTCGGGACTTCAACGGGATTCGAACCCATGGCCTCTGCGTTATTGCTGCAGTGCGGTACCAATTGAGCTATGAAGACCTATACATAGCAGGCCAATTTGTTGTGTTCTTCTTCACCCGTGAAAGGAATGAAACATGGAATGATGATGTGAACTGCCGAAATACAAACTTAAATGAAGATATGATCGTCGCAGCGGTTATTCCAATTTAAGCACACCGATACATCAATGTAAAATGTATAATGGTGATTGCCTCTGACACTGTTGACTGTTCAACTACTGCTAAAAATATTGGGGTTATTTTTAATAACTCTCTATCGATGTTGCCGCACGTTACTGCTGTTTGCAAGTCTTTTTAAGATTCGCAAGTTTCTTTCTTACGATACATGTAAAACTCTAATTCACGCCTTTGTTACTGTAAGGATCGACTATTGTAACTCATTGCTCTACGGTCAGCCTAAATGTATCTTGAAACGTTTACAGAGTGTCCTAAATAGTGCTGCTAGGCTTATTCACCTTACTAGTAGATATGAGCGTGTTACGCCGTTGCTTATTCAACTTCATTGGCTACCAATTGAACAAAGGATAACTTTCAAAATTGCAGTAATCGCATTTAAGGCGCTTCATGGTGCTGCACCTAGCTATATCACTGATCTCATCAAGCCTTTTACGCCTGGTAGACTTCTTAGATCTTCCAATCAATTTTTACTTTCTACATCTAAATTTAATCTTAAAACTTATGGTGGCCGGTCCTTTACTATTGCTGCACCTTCTGTTTGGAATGCACTTTCATTCGAACTTAGATCTTGTAATTCCCTTTCTTCTTTTAAATCTAAGCTCAAGACTTGGCTTTTTAAAATTGGTTATGATGTTGTCGTATAGAATGATGATGTTTTTATAGGATGACAATGTAGTTTTGTAGTTTTGTAGGTTTAGGATTTTGTAGTTATTTTTATTATGTAAAGCGCTTTTGGACCATTGGGAATTTTATAGAATGACAATGTAGTTTTGTAGGTTTAGGATTTTGTTGTTAATTTTATTATGTAAAGCGCTTTTGGACCATTGGGAATTAGTGCTCTATAAATACTGTATATTATTATTATTATTATTATTATTATTATTATTATTTATTATTAATGCTTGATTACCAACCATTGTTTTAATGAGCGGAAGACATTTAACCCCGAATATTGACTTTACGTTTTCGTGGATAATGTTGTGGTGTTAGTGATATTTTTAAACGATTTAGCTAAAATAAAATCACAATTCGTTGAAAGGCCCCCCTCGAGTCATCTTTGAAGACCCAAGGGCGGTCAGTCTGATCGGGAAAAACGGCGGCGAAAGTCTTCAATAACGGACGAGAGAGTCGCCGCCATTATTCCCGACCCGACTGACGGCCCCTGGGTCTCCGAGGATGCCCTCGATTAAGAACGCGCCCGGGCGCTTATTCGAGCAAATACGGTACTTTTGGCTTGAAACTTTCTGGATTTTTATCAACCTTCTAAAAATAATGAGATGCACAGTCAACTAGCTTTAGAGTTCAATTTGTCTTGCATGCACATTGTTTTGGTTTCGTTCACTGAGCAAAACTTTGCAGTTTTGTTAAGTTTCCCTTTACGGTCTAACTAAAGATTACCATTCTCCAATCCACGTCAATTTTCAAGCACTTCTTATGTTAAAAGTAAAGGTTTGTTCAGTAATCAACGGAATTTTATCTTTGGTGTTCATTTCTTTCAAGTAGATGCTGATCTCTATGGGCTTAAAAAAGACTTAACAGGAAATACCTCTTGGTTATCCTCTATTGGCAGAGATGATGGGAATGGTGCCTGGCTGTCCATGTCACTTTGCGACTGGGTAAGATGAAGGGAGAATACTATTTCCTGTGACTCGTCAGCAATGACATCATCTTGTTTTGGTTCGTCAACTGGGTGATCTGTAATTTAACGCATTTTACCTTACATTATGAGTCTTTCTTCTCCTTACATACATGGTACATTTTCGGTTCTATGGCCATGTATTTCAGTCCAAATTGAATTAAGGTGTACCTGGCTATATAAGGGTTGTTTACCATTTACAAAAATTTTCCGAAAATTCTGAAAAGTGAATAGAACACGACTTTTTAGGTCGTTTCAGTCGTACATGGTGATGTAAAAGGTAAACAACCAAGAAGCCCATATTATACCGCTGAAAATATTCTTGCAGGCGACAAGAGGAGCCCACAATCCTAATCGCCCAGTTTTTATTACGCATGCGTCGCACATATGTAGCTAGCATTTGTCTCACTCTGGACTTCCGCTAACAATGAATGGAATGCACAGAACACAATTTGATCATGCGCGTTTGGACCCTCTATCACTCGTAAAATGATCACGCGTGTTCTGACTATCTGTCACGTGAAACTTACACAATGCAAAGCGATGGAGCAAAAGCGTTTTGACCTTCGATCGTTGTCGCCCGCACTCTTCTTCGGGAGTTCGAAGTAAATGACCGGAAATGTTGAAATAAGCAAATGGGATGTGGAAGGAATGCAAGTTGGTATCATGTACACTTCACTTTCTGGGCACAGAGATATCGAGTGAAAAAAGAAGTATTAGCAATAAAGCTTGGTTAATATATAGGTTTGGACTCTGTATTTTAACTGATCAGAACTTACAAAAAGTTAAGGCGAAGAATAGTCGGTTGTTTTGAAGTAAACTCAGTGCTTCTGAGTTTCTTCGAGGTAGCGAGGCCTCTAGTTATCGGGAGTAAAAAATACGCCTGTTCGCGACCATTGCTCGTTTGGCGAACCCGTACACCAGATCGATGGAGGCTCTGATTGGTGCGGCTTCAGATGTCTGATTGCTAGCTGCCAATCAAGATGACATATTTTTTTAAGGGCTCTCCGAACGGAGTATTTCACCCTGATTCATCCGAAATTTGTTCAATGTGCTGTAATATCGCATTAGACACTTCACCCCAGTCTTTGCATGCGAGGTTCGTCGCCAGAGTTTTGGTTTGATTGTCTCGCGGAAATCTCACAATAACATTCCCTGAACTCAGTATCTGCGACAAGTCATCTACGTTAAGTCTTATCAACATTTCCTATTCTTTGTCAGACGGAGAACTGCTTTCCAGAACTACTTTCTCCGGTAAATGCCTGCGACTTGTGCGATTTCTCATTACAAATGATGTTTTGACTTCGCAACATACGCGCGTATAGCTTTCGCATTTGCCTGCTGGAATTTTTTGTCGGTTTTAAACAAATGCGACAGCTGTACGCGTATGTTGCAATTATTAATCTACCCAGAGTATACTTCTGGATCCTGGAACAAAACCAGTCCTACTTGTTTGCAAACGCTCGCAAACACAATTCCAAAGGAATCTTTGCGCTGTGACAGTTTGAACGGAGTTTGCGATGATAAGTAAAATTGTTTACCGCTGACGTTCCCAAACTTCACTTTACAGGGCATTTATAAATCCTACAGCTGACACTAGGACGCGTTTCCGACGAATTTTTCAATGCCCGGAAAGCGCCTTTCCAAACACGCGTACATTGCTCCAGATTTCAAACTGGACTTTTTATGTTTAGTCAATGCCGGATAAGCGCCGTTTCGTCTTCGTGTGGACGGCCGTAAACACGAGGTAAAACGTGTTATTATCCGAAGATGGCGTACACAATTTTAGGCTTCCGGAAAAGAAATGAAATCGATTTTTACTGGCTGTGTTTGCATTTCCGGAAAAACAGTCAGGCGCGACTAATTAGGAGGCGTTCGGTAATTTCATAGGCTTTGCTGGCAGGTAGCCTGCGAGCAAGCTCTCCTATTTGGGTAAGCGAAGTGAGCCTCGCGAGGCCGGCCCCTCGCGGTTTCGCCGCTCGCGCGTTCTCGCGAGACTCGCTTCACTCGCCCAAATAGGAGAGCTTGCTCGCAGGCTAGCTGGCAGGCGATTTTCTTCTCTCTTGTCCGCCCCTCCTCCGTTAGTCTCTTTTTGTGCTTTTCAAGATGGCGGCCGCGATCAATGTACCTCAGGGTTTCCGTTAAAAAGCGCCCGCTCTGCAGGCTGCATCTAAGGCCAATCAACGTATGGAACAAAAAAATCAAAGTATATGTTTGATTTCCTTAGCTCTTGTCTATCTGAACCTCCCTACAAACTGAAAGACTACAGGAGTGTGTGGGATAAGGCTCTTTATGACTCTTGTTCTTATATCAAATTCTCCCTTTGTTCACACAAAAAAAAGCAAGGTAATTTGTATAATAATAAAGCAACTTATCATACGTCATTAGTCATTGTTTTTTTTTTTTCCAGGCACCCATTCATTTAATAGCCTTTGTTCCCCGGTCAAACACTGCAACTTTACCCCAAAATATTTTCAAGACTCTTAATGACATCATTTTATTAAATTCCCTTTCTGTAGAAATTAAATCAGTATTACAAGTAATCCTACCTGAAACACCACGCTGGGGTCCTGCACTTTCTTGAGTTATGCTGGGGCGGAACATGTCGTCACTCATGTCAGGCTGTGTGGGACCTGGGGCCACAAGTGGGTCTTTTTCAGACGCCTTTGTAGTTACATTAAGCTCATTAGAGGGGTCTATAACCAACGATGATGGAGATACTGATTGGTCTTCCTGTGTAGTCTCCTTTGGGCATACTGCCTTCGATATAAGGGGAGGATCTTCTTCTCTTTCTAAGAAGCTCATGTCTACATTTTGCACATGTTGTTCTTTCTTGCTGGTAGAGACATTGTCAGTAGCTTCCATTCTTTGGCCATGAAAGCTGGAACTTGAAGAGCCTACAGCACTAATCAATGACTGCCATTGCTGTATTTCAGCTGGCTGTGAGCCATCTTCAACAGTATTTTTAGATGAAGGCTTTTCTAAGGAGCTTGAATTTGAAGAGGATGATGTTGATGATGAAGACTTTTTACCCTTTGAAGCAACATCTTCCTGAGGAACATTCTGTACTAGTTGCCAGCGAGGTAATGTTACTTCATCATCAACTGACATTTCTTGCTGTATATTAACAGGATGGGATGTTGTCTTTTCTGCTTGCTTTTCTTGAGATAAATCAAATAACTCCACCAATTCTGCAGCCGCTCTTGCCATCTCTGATTGTCCTTCCTTCTCTTCATGATCACTTATTGTTCTCTTAGGTCTTTCACTCTTTTCCTCCTTGCTATAGTACGCATATTATTACAATCAATTGTGGAAAAAGAAATGAAAAATGTGTCATAGACGAATACCAGCTGAATATTAAGCAGAAACATTATTCTCATGCATTTTTAACATGGGCAATACAAGAAATGAAAATAGTCAGGGACAGGATTCAAGAATGGCCCTTTAGATAAGACATATCCTACAAAACTTTTCAGGTTTTTTTGAAACTCAATATTGTCAAGTTATTGCCCTTCCCAATGCTGATTCAAGTACAGTGTATTAATCAATAGCAAATAAAGCAAGTCTAAATAAACACACAGGGAAAAGTTAGATATAAGTGGGTTGAGAAGGCTTGACATGAAAAATCCTCAATGTTAGTCTAGTATTACAACAAAATTTATTTTTATGACTATTGTACGTATCAGGGCTGCAAATAATTCTTTTTCTCTTGAAAGGACATATGTCCTACTAAGACACCATCTTGGTCGGAAAAAAAATTGGTCGGACATTACCAAACGAAAGGTTGAACTTTATATTCTTAAAATTACCAAGCTCTAGTATTACATCCTCGAGATCGGACCAGTTGCTTGTTTCTATTACTTATTATGACTAATAGTAAAATATACCATTTCACTTTCACTTAAGTGGAGAGGTTTGATAAAAACTATCAACACAGCAATCAGTTCCTTTGAAGTGAACGACATATTTACCCAGCAAGTCAATGTTGTTTTGTGACTTTGAGATCGTCCTAACAAAAAGTAAGCTTTTCTCAAGGTAGATTTTTATTCTTCCTTACCGTAAAATGATTTACGATAAAAAGTTTCCTCGGACATAATGTCCAAACACAGGTAAGATTCGTCGGACACTAGCAAATTTTGGTCGACCATTGTCCGATGACCAACTGTTACCGGGTATTTGCAGCCCTGAGGAATTGCTTCTTAACGGGACAGGTTCACGGTTCAGCGCAAGCTCATTAATTAAATTACTTTTTTCCAATTTGTTATTAATTCTACCTGTTAACAATCCCACTCACAAAGTCATGTATCTCAGCTATCTCAGAGTGTATTCCAAAGTATTTCAGAGTAACCTGAAGTGGGATGGAGGAGTACTAAAATCGCAGAAAAATTAGTGGATTATGCCAACACTACCAACGTTGAATTTATTGTTGACCCGAAGGTTTTACTCCATGGTTGATTAATTTACAGGTAATTGCACCTAACTTGATCAAGTGACTGCAAGAGGAGTGAGCAGATTGGTTCTTTGACAACATTATGACATGATCATATTGCTTTCATAGACGATACAACATGTCCCGGCTTAAAAATAGCATTTTGATTAACGAGCATGCGCTAAACCATGAACCTGTCCCTTTAACAATAGCTTATTGTCCAATGTCATTAAACAACAATTCAGATCTGTCTCAAATTACACTGTTGGAAGGCGTCTTGAATCCAACACCAGTTCCTTTCATAGCATGTACAATAAAAGACAATGTGGACTTGCTCCAACGTGAAACCACTCGAAAATAAATGCACTTTATTTGAGTGTCAAAGTATTAAGCACGAAAGTACTAATTGGGACACCAATTTACGAAGCAGACGGGACCGCCATTTTACGTGGTCTTCCGAGCCACGCGAAGGTCTTGCCGCTTACAGTGCAAAAGGAGTACCTCCTTTCTCAGATACATGTATTTTAAGACCCTGAGGAATCCAGGCCCAAGGAATCGAACCCGCGACCTACCGCACTGCAGTCACACGCTCTACCGGCGGAGCTAATACTGCCGCGACCGATTTCGATCATCAACAACTAGAGCATGGATTTGTAGCACTTGTTTATCGTCCGAATTTCCATTGCACGATTATTGTATCCCAAGAGATATCTTCACATCCACTGTCAACGTAGTCTGCTACACAGCCGTCTTTAGTGTCGTCACGCAACGGAGGAGCATTGCGTGACGACACTAAAAACGGCTGTGTAGCAGACTACTGTCAACGAAGCAGAGCAGCCCTTAAACTTCAGAAGACCTCTATCCATTACTTAAAAAGGACCTTCAGCGATCTGGTCTAAAAATCGCTCACATTAATGTAAACGGACTTTACTTAAGCAAATTGCTGAATATAAAAGCTCTGCTATCTTTGCTACAGTTTAACATCTTAGCCATAACGGAATCCCCTCTGAATCAAAGTATCTCAAATAATGAAATTGGTATCGCGGGATACAAAATTGCCACATGCGATCCAAACAACAGTCGTAAAGGTGGCAGTTCAATTATTTACTTTGTTGAGCATTTAAATGTATATGAACGTTATTCTCTGGAAGCCGCTTGGATCGATATTACTGTATCACCACAGAAGCTTTAATTGACTCCATTTATTGTCCACCCGATAATAAATTGTTTCTTAGCAAGTTTTACTCCACTGTTGATCGATTTTTACCGGGGGATTTCAATTTTAACCTTCTACCTGGAAATCAGGATACAAATTCTTCAAATCCAACACTGACCTAACACGTTTGAGTAAATTTAATCTCAAGAATGTGATTGACCAACCCACCAGAGTCACTGACACCTCGACTTCATTGACTGATCTCATTATCTCTTCTAACACCTCAAAGATAGATCACGATGGAGTTTACAGTTTAGGCATTTCAGATCACAATTTAATTTATGCAGTTGTCGATCTTAAAAGAAAACGCCAGAAGCCAACATTGAAGACTGTTTACGACTACAAAAAACCGATCTTGACTCTGTGAGAACAGACTTTCTCGATGCCCCATGGTGTATTAGTAATATCTTCGACGAATTAGATGACGCTACAAGAATATTGTAAAATCCCACTTTCACTCCCGAGTCCGGTAAAGATAAGAAGTGGAAGCTTGCCCTGCATGAACTCTTCCATTCGCAAAGAACTAAACAAACGCTATAATTTACTCATTAAAGCACAAAGAACACCAAAAGGCTCCGAAGCATGCCTAGATTATAAAAAGGTGAGAAACCATTGTGCCAAACTTCTCAGATCAGCTGAATCAAAATATTGGCTTACTAAATTTAATGACGCAAATTCTAGCAAAGATTTTTGGAGAACAGTTAGATCTTTTGAAGAAAGGGACGTATCCTCCAAAATTGATCCAGTAAAAGATAAAGACAGAGTTATATATACAGATGATACATCAAAGGCTAACACTCTAAACTCTTTCTACGTCAATACTGGAAAACTCTCGCGCAACCATCACATCAAGCTGCATCTAGCCCTACAAATCAGATTGTTCGAAATAACCAAGACACGCCTACTCTTTCTTCGATAGCTCTTGACAAAGACATTTTGAATTCATCCTTTTTAAAAACGTTTAAAAATTGGCAACCCGATTGGCCCTGATAATATATCCAGCAAAAACCTTCGCCTTATAGGGGATGTTTTTCTTGATGGTTTCACTGATGTATCTCGCCCAGAGAAGTATTATGTAAATTTCCAAATCAGTGGAAAAAAGCACCAGTCAAGTGCATTCACAAAGAAGGGAGCACCTTGACTGTGGTAACCACAGGCCTATTTCACTCCTCAGCATTCCAAGAAAACTGATGGAAGATGTGATTTTAAAAAACTTGACAGCTTCTTGTATGATGAAGGGGCTTCAAGAAAGGAGGATAACCTGCATCTCTGATACTTTCAATAATGGAGCGATGGCTTTTAGCCCTAGACCAACGAAAAATTATTGGCGTAGTTTTTATTGACTTTCAAAAAGCTTTTGATTGCGTTAATCATGGAATTCTTACAGACAAACTGAGCGCCACTAGCATTTCCGGTACCTTTTACGAATGGCTTATAGACTATCTATGCAACCTGTCTAGGTGTCCAACTCGACAACAAGCTTTCTTGGTAACCCCATAAAAAGTCATTGTGTAAATGTTTTTCTGCAAGACTAAAGAAACTAAAGCGTTTAAAAGGCTTTGATTATCGCATTCTAGAATAAATCTACTTTAACGGTATACTTCCAACTATAACCTACTCTATCTCTCTTTGGGGGTCCCCCAACTCGCTCAAAGCCCTTGAAAAGATTCACATTAGAGCAGCTAGATTTATTTTTAACATCAAAGACTCCACTCGTGATGTCAATGTTCTTGCGGTAACTCTATTGCACATTTATAAGAAGAGAATGGCATATGCATAACCTTTCAAGCATTTTACAATAGAGCACCCAATGGTATAAACTCTCTTTTCACTAAACATTTTCATCAACAAGTCAAAGAGACAACCTTAAACGTCATGTGCAACGTCCTAATAGTGATTCTTTCCGTTCTTGTTTCTCTCACGGAGCTTCTATATTATAGAACAATCTGCCAGTATCTTTGAAGAACAAACCAAGCCTTGAGGCTTTTAAAGCTGCTTTAAAAACAAACCATGACATTCTTGATAGAATGACATTCAACAGAATTCAAGGAACAAATAAAGACATTTTAAATTACTTGTATTAAAGTAAAGATTGTGACTTAACATAATTTTTCTTAAGTACTGTATGTAGAGCGTTAGACAACCGTTAAACGGCTCCAGTCATCCGTTAGAACAAACTGCGTAACCGTTAGAATGTTTTCTTCATCCGTTAGACATACTTAGTTAGCCGTTAGACTGTTAGGAGAAAGCGTTAGGACATTTTGATCATCCATTAGGAACAACTAGATAACCGTTAGAACGTTAGGACAAAACGTTAGAATGCTGTGAAGGCCGTTAACAATCCGTTAGCTATCCGTCCGTTAGAGAGCATTTAACGGATAAGCGTTAAGGTACGTTTTCCCGTGCACGGTCACATATGGTGCTTTTATTTCTTTTATACTGTTATTGTTTTGTACATATTTCATTTATTTATTTTTGTAACTTTACGTTCGTTTGTTGGTCCACATCAGCTATTAGCTGCCTTTTATTATTTTAATTGACGTACATAACAAAAAGTATGAATATATGGACGTACATATCCACCCCATACCTGTACCCTTCCAGTATTGACAAATCCCTTGGGGTAAATAAACTCATCCTCATCAGCTAAACAACTGTTTACAAACAACTTTGCACTCACTTACCCACTTGGTTTCTCCTTGACTTCTGGCTTATCGTCAACTGGAGACGAAGGAATTACATGTGGTGCTGAAACTGAACTGTGTTCCTCTGATGAAAGAGATAGCTTTCCGGATGAGGAAGATGACGTCTCTTTTGCAGTTACCTCATTACCTTGTTTGGTTCTAAGCAAGGAATAAGAAGAATCCAAATTGAAGAACAGCTTGCAGTATCCTGTCTGATAGCTTTTTTTTCTTTTTCTTTTTTTTTTTTTTGGCAATTTATTATGTATATGTTACAGGTCAAAATTATATACAGGTTAAAATTTGTATAGCCTTGTCTCCTAGCCCTAATTCATGAATAATTAGGGCTAGGAGACAAAAGAAATAGAGAATCAACCTAGGTTAAAAACATTTTAAACCTGAATATAATTTTGACCTGTAACATAAGATGTATACACCAGAATACATTAACTGACATTTTCTGGCCTTAAAGAGAGGTTTTTGGCTTACCCAAAAAGCCAGAAAGTTATTGCATCCCATTACCATGGACTGTTTTAGGTAAAAATGATGTCAATCAAGCAGTGAATAAAAGGAAAAAAAAGAACAATGTTTGGGAAAAAAGAACAATAATCTGTCTACAGGCCAAAGGCATTTGTCTCTTTTCCCTCCTCTAACATGTCTCACACTTCCGCTAACACATTTGGAATTGACTGAACCATAACACTGCAAGTGTGTTGAATACTCATCATTTTAACTTTAGGAAAGATTTTTATTGAACAACATATCTACCCCAAATTATTATTAATATATGTACCTTAACCCATTCACCCCTGAGCTGCCTGTAAACACCCGTGCAGATCTATGTCCTTTCTACTGCTTATGACGAGATATGTCCAGAAATGCACGCCTTGGCGAAAATGGCAGAAATGGCAATTAATCGCCAAAATCGCCAAACTATAAACAAAAATTCAAATGAGATGGCAAAGGGGCCCTTTGCAAAGTGGCGATTTCGGCGAAAATGGCGTATTTGGCGAAAATGGCAGAAATGGCGCTTAATCGCCAAAATCGCCAAACTGTAAACAGAAATTCAAATGAGATGGCAAAGGGGTCCTTTGGAAAGTGGCGATTTCGCGAAAAATGGCGTATTTGGCTTAAAATGGCAGAAATGGCAATTTTAATCGCCAAAATCGCCAAACTATAAACAAAAATTCAAATGAGATGGCAAAGGGCCCTTTGCAAAGTGGCGATTTCGGCGAAAATGGCGTATTTGGCGAAAATGGCAGAAATGGCAATTAATCGCCAAAATTGCCAAACTATAAACAAAAATTCAAATGAGATGGCAAAGGGGCCCTTTGCAAAGTGGCGATTTCGCTAAAATGGCGTATTTGGCGAAAATGGCAGAAATGGCGCTTAATCGCCAAAATCACCAAACTGTAAACAGAAATTCAAATGAGATGGCAAAGGGTCCTTTGGAAAGTGGCGATTTCGGCGAAAATGGCGTATTGGCTAAAATGGCAGAAATGGCAATTAATCGCCAAAATCGCCAAACTATAAACAAAAATTCAAATGAGATGGCAAAGGGGCCCTTTGCAAAGTGGCGATTTCGCGCGAAATGGCGTATTTGGCGAAAATGGCAGAAATGGCGCTTAATCGCCAAAATCGCCAAACTGTAAACAAAAATTCAAATGAGATGGCAAAGGGCCCTTTGCAAAGTGGCGATTTCGCGAAAAATGGCGATTTGGCGAAAATGGCAGAAATGGCGCTAATCGCCAAAATCGCCAAACTGTAAACAAAAATTCAAATGAGATGGCAAAGGGCCCTTTGAAAGTGGCGATTTCGGCGAAAATGGCGATTTTGGCGAAAATGGCAGAAATGGCAATTAATCACCAAATCGCCAAACTGTCAACAAAAATTCAAATGAGATGGCAAAGGGGCCCTTTGCAAAGTGGCGATTTCAGCGAAAAATGGCGTATTTGGCGAAAATGGCAGAAATGGCAATTAATCGCCAAAATCGCCAAACTGTAAAACAAAAATTCAAATGAGATGGCAAAGGGGCCCTTTGGAAAGTGAGGATTTTGGCGAAAATGGCGTGCACTAATTCTGTATCTTTTCATCAACCACAAATAAAAAAAAATAGAGTGCATGTTGGCCTCGTTCTTAAAACGTGTTTTGGCAGAAATGGCAATTACTCGATGAAATACCTAATTTGTCAAGACAAATTGAAATGACATAACAAAGGGTCCCTTTTGAAATGGCTATTAATTGCCAAATAGTTAACCACATATTACTATAAAAATGTTTCCAGTAGTATAATTGTATACTAATAATGACACTAAGTGTCATTAATCTGTTTTAATGCTTTTACCTTTAATTGATAACCTCTTGTGATTTGAAATTAAGTCCCACACAAGAGTGTTCGGTCGGGAATTACCACTTATAACTAATTTCTTGCTCAATTCAAATCGAATGGCCAACGAGTTGTATTCAATTATCAGTAAATGGTAATCTTCGTAATGTTCATGGCAACTTTCTTACCAAAAATCCAAGATAGGTATCCTTAATTTTCCAGGCTTGTAGGCATTGTTTGAATAGCGACAGTTCAACATTATATGTTATGAGGAGGTTGGTTCTTGGCTACGAGTCAGATAATTAGATGGTCCGTATTGCCTTGTACATCCATCCTGTTTGTTATAATGGCGTTCAATCGCATAAGTATATATAAAAGCGAGCTGGTTCATTGCAGTTTCACAGAACATGAACGTATAAGGTTTAGTATGTTGTTATACAGACGCGGCGACCATGTTGAAATAGTCGATTTTGGATAACTACTCTATGTAAGTAGAAACGATTAGTGTCATTCCCAGCTGACTTTGGTGGTCACTCTATGTTTATAGCTCCTCTATGTAAGCAAAACGATTAATGTCGTTCACAGGGACTCTCAGGCAATTGTTAAAATAGAAGGTAAAAAGGCCGGGTGACGTGTTTCGACGAGCATTAGCATTAGCAATTTAATGGAAACATATTGTACTGAGAATTGGTTTGGTGGTCTCAGCGCAAAAAAAACAATACATTTTCTAAATTTCTGGCCCCACCTCATAAAAGCAATAATGGGACACATTTTTGAAGAACGAGACAAACATGTACACTCTCTTTTTATATATCTAGTTGATGAAAAGATACAGAATTAGTTTGAATGGGATATGTTTTATGAAAGAGACAAACAAGTTATTGCTTTGATCCAATGTTTATGTTCAATAAATGCGGTGAAGTATTGGGCACAAGTGACATTTCGTGCAGGTTTACATAAAGTGGAAATAAGCGAAATCACACATTTCAAAATGGCGCACGCATAAGCTGCTGGACATTTCGGCTTTCGTTACTTTTAGGGGACCGTTTCTCTAAAGAGCAAAGGAAGTAAGTGCGAGAAGAAAGTGAAGAGTTTAAAACGACGAAAGAAGATAATGTGTATAGTGGAGAACCAAAAAAGAATGAAGGGCACACACTAGCTGGTTATCGTGAAAGCATCTTTTAGCCAGGAACCATGCGTTTCGCAATCGCTTTTGATTTAAGGCTGCCTCACAATTTAATGGAACCAATGTGAAGAGAATTGTAACCAGTGAGGATTGTTAAGGTCTACATCGAACCTCAAAAGTTAGAGTGTCCATGGCAAGGAATTATTATGATTTCAAGGACTTGGTAGTTCTCTCCTCGAGTAATTAGTGGACTTGTAAGTCTTTGAAAGGAATGAACCATACAAAAGCAAATGATGCTAGTGTGATATTTCAGCGCATCACATCACTTTTGGTAAGTCAAGCGACATCGAAAGTAAGGAAATGTTTACTTAACCTGTGAAGTACATGGCACAAATACATATTAGCTTAACTGAAACGACTTGCATTTGTTGTTTTCAGATATATTTGATTCAGTTGTATTTGATAAAATAATGTTGTTTGACAGTTAGGTAAAGCTGTTTTGTCATATATTTGATTCAGTTGTATTTGATAAATGTTGCCTCACAGTTATTGGGGCCTCTTATTAGGCAAGTAATTTGAACTTTTTTTTAGTACTGTTGCCTCACAGTTATAAGGACCTCTTTAGTTATCTACTTTGAAGGGGCCACTTTTGGCATCCAATTTGAATATTTTGCCACATATCGCCAGCCCTCAAGCGATTTTTGCCAAAATTACCAATTTCACCAAAATCGCCATTTTCGCCAAAATCGCCATTTTCGCCAAAATCGCCAGCCTCCAAGGGGCCACTTTTGGCATCCAATTCAAATCGCCAGAGGCTGGTGATTTTTCGCCAGTTTCGCCATTTTCGCCATTGCATGCATGGCGATTTTTGCCAAAATTGCCAATTTCGCCAAAATCGCCAGCCTCCAAGGGGCCACTTTTGGCATCCAATTCAAATCGCCAGAGGCTGGTGATTTTTCGCCAGTTTCACCATTTTCACCATTGCATGCATGGCGATTTTTGCCAAAATTGCCAATTTCGCCAAAATCGCCATTTTCGCCAAAATCGCCAGCCTCCAAGGGGCCACTTTTGGCATCCAATTCAAATTGCCAGAGGCTGGTGATTTTTCCCCATTTTCGCCATTGCATGCATGGCAATTTTTGCCAAAATCGCCAATTTCGCCAAAATCGCCATTTTTGCCAAAATCGCCAGCCTCCAAGGGGCCACTTTTGGCATCCAATTCAAATTGCCAGCGGCTGGCGATTTTTCGCCAGTTTCGCCATTTTCGCCATTGCATGCATTTCTGGACATAAGTGCTTATGACCTCATCAGTTTTAATGGTCAAGGACAACTTTGTCCGCTAAGTTGTGCAGAGTGAAGAGATCTTTCAAACCATACCAGAATGAGCAAAATTCGGTCAAGGACACCAGAGAAAAAGGCAAAAAACCATGTAGCATTGACCTGAAAATTTGCATGAAAATCTTTTTCCACTACCCACCTAACTTTCCTTTCATCTAATCTTAAGATCCTAAAAGCTTTCCTAAAAACTTTTCCCTACTAAATGCCCAGCAAGAGAACAAAAATTTGGCAAGAAAAGCGAAAAAAGAGGGGAGGAGAGAAAGCGAAAAGTAAAAGTCAAGACTGATGTGTTACTTCTAAACCCTAAAAAAATCCCGAAATTTTGCTTCCTGCGCAAGCCTGAACTTTGCAAACTAATATTTTGCATCTGGATCAAATGGCCACGAAGTGTAGGACCTGTAACGGCTTTGTGGTAAGTTTTATCTCTTTATAGCACAACAGTGACCAGAAAACCGCTTGACTAACTTCAAAATGCATTTTCAGCAAAATCTCCAGGGGCGAATGGGTTAATGACAAATCTATTCATAGGCAGGGGGTGCTTTATAAACTTTCCCTTGTCTGCTAACCAACTGTTTTACTCATCACTTTGCACTGAACAGATTTCTTACCCGCTAGGTTTCTTATCACCAACTTCTCTCGGTGAGGATGGAATTACATGTGGTGCTGAAACTGAACTTTGTTCTTCTGATGAAACAGAAAGTTTTTCTGATGAGGAAGATGACGTCTCTTTTGCAGTTACCTCATGACCATGTTTGGCTCTAAGCAAGGGATAATAAAAATCCAAATTTAAGACTAGCTTCCTGTATCTTGTCTGCTAGGTTTTTTTTGCTTTTTTTCATTGTACAATATAAGAAATATTTTATGGCCTTACAGAAAAACTAAAAGAATTAGGTTTAAAGATCTATGTCCCCTTCCCATCAGTGATTAGCATAAACAATGAAAGACTTAAGATAAAAATCAACGAGTATCGCATTGTTGTTGGGAGACTCTTTCAGGTGAATTTGTACAAATATTACACTTTACCTTTACATGGCCTATGATATTGGATAGGTTATCAGATACTTCTGTACCTACAGGGGTGCCTCATGTGCAAGTGATGTATTGCATTCTGGTTACCTAAAACCCATGTCAAATTAAGCCTTACTGAACTGGCTATCTTACTAAACCAACAATGTTTTTAAAAACTTGCACTGTCATTTTTTCGTCATCTTTTAATACAATTATCTGAATCACCTTTCCAAAGCTAAAACTCAAAGCGAGTTTTGTTTTTGATGATGTTTTTGTTTTTGAAGTTTTTGATATGGGCTATTGATTCAGAGGTCATGAGGGCAAGAGGAATAATTGATTTAGGAAAATCCAACTAGTTGGTCAAAAATATCGAGACAAAACAACTTAAGCTAGCAAAACGCGATTCAGCCACCGTTGTTTTGGTTTTCAAAGCTGGTGCTTTTCGCTACTAGTGGGCTATAACATATAGCCTAGTAGTAGCTCGATCAATCAGAACACAGCATTGATAATAAAACACTAATCGAATTTTACTAATAATCAGATAATGAATAGCCCCAGACTTCATAGCACTTAAAAACTGCTTGTGAATGCAGTTATACTATTACTGAAAAGTTGATAATAATAGTTAAATTGTAAATATGTGCAAAGAACAAGAAGTTATTGTTCTAGCAGTTATTTTACCTTGTGCTTGCTGCTCCCTCTTCTGCAACTGCTGTTGGAGAGGAGGGAGTCAACATTGGTATTGAGCTGCGTTCCTCTGGTGATGGTTCAACCTTTTCTGATGTTGATGATGATGTATTTTTTGTGCTTGTTTCCCCTGAAAAGTGTAAGCTCTGAAATTCAATAGGAGTACCCTGAGAAGGTGGAGTCTGAAGGAATTCACGACCTTCTACAGGTGTTGAGGTTCGCTGGTTAGCTGTTAAGACTTGTTGATACAGTGACTTTTCGTGCGCATGCCCATGGCATCCCTTACTGCTGTGACCATCAGTGGGAGTTGAGTGGTGTTGAGGTGGCAAAATGTGGGAACCATCCGGTGACAGATCTGACTGTGCTTGGTCTTGCTCCTTGTTCACTTCGTGGGAAGCAAACATGTCTTCTTGCGATGAGCATACTTCAGGTTCATCAATCTCTTCCAATGACCAAATCCTGTACCCAGACGTTGTTGCACGCACTTTACCCTCTTTGCTTCCTGCACTGCTTGAACTAGTGTCACTTGTTGACTGGGTACGAAGCATGGAAAGGAGGGGGAGGTGTTTTCGCACTTCAGGGGATGGTCCCATGCTACCACCACTTGACAGGCTAGACAGATCGCCATGGTAACTGCTGCTACTAGCACTTGATCCTTGTCCAGACTTGTGACCTACAATTAACAGGGTACAAGTAATCAGCTCTAAACATGATTTGCCCACTGGATAGTTCGGCAATAACATTATTAACTGAAATCTTGACTTGCCTTTGCTTAAATAAGTCTAACTTGCCCAGACAAATACAGATTTGTGCTCTTGTTTGTTTGCTATCTTTGTCTATACCAAAGGAACATTTTACATGTACAGTGCACCTTCATTCTGAGTGGAAACAGACTGATTTTTCTTACCATCACTTGAAGAGCTTGTAGACTTTTTCTCTGATCGTTTTTCTGATGGGCATTCCACTGTCCCTGTTGATCCTTCACTTAAACTTCCTGAGCCTGAAACTACATGCACATCGGCTGCATCATGAGCCCCCTCTCCAACTATGCCACTGAAAGCCTGGCTATGGTTACCTCCTTCTTGAACCACTTCACCAGGACTTAACAGATTGCTATCAGTTCCACTACCAGCAGAATGCTGCGCGTGTAACTCTGACACTGAGAACTTCTGCCCTTTCCACTGACTGCTTCCAGTAACAGCCTCAGGACGCACCAAACTTGGCATTTGATCACTGCTTAATGAGGATGATGGTTCATCAGCAGGGGGGGAATCATCTTCATGGTCATCATCACCCTCCCTATCATCATCATCATCACCACCACCACCATCATCTCCACCATCACCTCCACCATACCCACCCCCTGCCCCTCTGGAATTACCTCCAGCATCACCATCAGTCCCACGTTCACGAGAACCGCCACCTCCCCCTTGCTCCTGGCCGCAGTTTCTCTGTTCTCCTCTCGAATCACCTGGTTCTCCTCCGCCGCTACCTGTAGGACGGCTTCTAACGACTGGATGTCGTCGTAAAGATTCGTTCGTCGAACAAATTGACGCTGACATCGCAAAAACTGGTAAACGCTTCAGTATCGATACATGTTGATCACTGTCGGATCGGCAAACTTGCTGCGATTCCTCAGCCTGTGAGTTGTCCACTAGAAAACAAGGAGGACTAATATCAAGTTCTTCTGGACTGAATTCCATTTTAGGTGCATTCTTTCACCGATTAAACGCACCAAAACAAACACATTTCTTCGATCCGCGCGCTCGCTAGGAGCCTGTATCCCGTGATCCTCTCCAACACAATATTCTAAGCTCCCTGAGGCTGATGGGTAGTCCTCTTTCCAAGATGGCGTTTCGCATGGCTCTTCGACGGTTTGGTAAGCTAAAACCACTCTATTATGTATTCCAAACTAGATTTCAAACCATAAGGAAGATTTTGAGATTTTTGCATTACTACATCGTTAAACCGTTTTGGGTGTGAAATCAAACGTCTATCGCTATGCACGCTTTTCCTATTTTATTGGGCACGATGTTCTTGATATTCCCGAGAAGAATATGAGCTTAATTTAACCAAGTTTATACCGAACGATGTGTATTCTATCCTTTATGCCTAATAATGACTTGTTAGATCTCTTGTCTTAATTGTATTGCTGTGCAGTGCTTGTACTTATTCTTATTCTAGGCTTTTGTTTGTGGCTCAATCTATTCAATTCTTAACGTGATCATCCCCCTGAGGACATTGTGTCATACTGCAAATGCCTTACAGTGGGGCTATTCAGTACTTTCGGAAGCCCCAGCACGGGTTAGAAATTGTGTGCAAAAATTGGGTCCAGGCCAGTATAACACTTATTCAATGTTCTTGAATCTGGCATGGTCAATTGAAAGAAACCAAACCAAAACTCAATATTGAACCCAATTCTTCAATAATATGATTATTGTGAAAGGTTTGAACCCAGGAGTCATTTCAAAAGGTTGAGTTTGATCGTCCGGGTGAACGTAGTCCTGAATAGGACTGTTGTTGTTGACAGTGACTGACGTTTCGACAACCTGTGCGGTAGTCATCTTCAGAGTCAAAGTGAGTTGTATCACGTCAGTTGATGGTATTATACTTGGGTTATTGATCTGATTGGTCAATTATGTCGCGATGTTATTGGTCGTCTGTCAGTTAAGCTGTGATTTTATTGGCTATGAAGACTCTTAATCAGTGATTGGTGCGTTTCGATCCATCTATTGTCGCAGTTAAACAGTCGTCTATTGTTAGTCAAATTGTTAGTTCTCCAGTTGTTCTCTCGTAGTTAGTTTTGCTTGATCTCGTCAATAAGTCGTTTGTACGGTGCTGGTAACTGTTGACTACGATTCAATATACGTGTTGCGCACAAACCGATAACCAGTTTACAGCGACTGCTTACTAATGTCAAGGACATAGACAAACCGGAGGACAGACAGGGAGCAGTATACAAGATCAAATGCTGCGACTGCCAGGCTTCTTACATTGGTGAAACCGGCAGAAACCTAAGCACGCGACTGACCGAACACAAACGCGCGACGAGGAATGTTGACGTCAACAATCACATTGCTGAGCACCATTTAAAGACGAAACATCAAATTGACTGGGACTCTGCGACATGTATAACGTATTCTACAGACTACTATCAACGTCTTACTTTAGAAAGCTGGTTTACTAACTTAGAACAAACGCCACTGAATCGTACTCAACAGTTACCAGCGCCGTACAAACGACTTATTGACGAGATCAAGCAAAACTAACTACGAGAGAACAACTGGAGAACTAACAATTTGACTAACAATAGACGACTGTTTAACTGCGACAATAGACGGATCGAAACGCACCAATCACTGATTATGAGTCTTCATAGCCAATAACATCATGGCTTAACTGACAGACGACCTATAACATCGCGACATAATTGACCAATCAGATCAATAACCCGAGTATAATACCATCAACTGACGTGATACAACTCACTTTGACTCTGAAGATGACTACCGCACAGGTTGTCGAAACGTCAGTCACTGTCAACAACAACAGTCCTATTCAGGACTACGTTCACCCAGACGATCAAACTCAACCTTTTGAATATGATTATTGTTGATTATTGTAGGATAATCAAACATACTTGAACTGGAACTTCCCGGCAATTTTTTGCATGTTTCATAGCTTTTGCGATAATATGATTTTTTTATGGTTGTTCTAGTTTTGAACAGTTAATGCTCATCTAGGAAAAATCATTTCGAATTAGGGGCATGCGGTAACCCTTTCTTTTTTTTTGCAGTTTTCCATTACCCTATATTTGGTTGTCAATTATGCCAGGTTTAAAAAACATCTTGATAGATTTGTATTTTGTACGGAATTACCTTAATTAACCTCATTCAAGTTGTGTGATTCTGCTTTCAAATCTCAGATGACAAAATGTGGTACCCTGGAAACTCAGTCAGTAACAGATACCTTTCAAAATGCCAGAGGAGTAGGGGTTTGGGAGAATGGGGATGTTGGGAATGGATAATGCCATTGTGTGACCATGTAACATCCTGCTTTTGTTTTCTAAAAGCTGTTGTATTATCATTCTCTTCTTAATCTCTCCCTTTGTAACTCTCCCTTCGCAAGGTGTCAGCCTAGAGCAAATTGGAATTCGCCATAACTACAATGACACAAGGAACAATCTTTTGATTGGTAAACACACCAAACTTATATGTCAAGGTTTCACAGGCAAACAGGTGAGGTCCTTTATAATAGAAATTTCTCACTGAGATAAAAATATAGCGTTAAAGAGGGATAAAAGTCAAGTTCTCAATACATCTAGCTATAAATTATTTGTTCAAAAAATTATTACTATGCAATAACAATGGAAAATTAATAGATATTCGCAGACTCAAAGGTTATGAACTCTTACGGACCAATGAATATAAGGGGACTATTAGGTCCTGTTTACATGGAAGTGGGGGACGCCAGGAAGGTGGGGTAACCTGCCTGTCCATATAATCTGTCATTTTAATTTTATCATGTTTACATGATAGGTGGGGTGACCCTCCACATGTTACCTCACCTATCTGGAGTCTCCCGCCTCCATGTAAATGGGCCCTTAGTTTATGAGGGGAAGAAATGGGAAAACCAAATGTTTAGTCACATTTAGCTTTGTTTCTTTACTTCTCTCTTTCTCTTGTGATGCTAATATCATGTTTATTTCTCGCAATCAACATGATATTTTTTATAGCTAGTTCTAAGCCAGTTTTTTATTGGCCTTATTGTGATGAACTCTCACTTTTTCCCTCAGTGTACAGTTAGTATTGTATCTTAAGGTATTAGATCTGCTATAAACCCTTCCATTTGAAAAATTTATTTCTCAAATAATTCAGAATTTTGCAAAATAAAAATTGCACAGGCCTATCAAGCGAGAGCTGAGCTTTCAGAAAATTGATATCCTAGGTGTCAATTTTCACACCTAAGGTGTTATTTCCAATTTATATAGCAGGCTCAAAAATTCAATAATTCTGTATTTCTGGCTTTCTCTTGATAGCCAGGAATAATTTATTTGACTTATACTTAGTTTGTTCATTTACCTTTAAATTCCCGGCAGTAGCCAGTAAATTTTTCCTAAGATAATTATAGAGGAGGAATTTTTTGTAATGCCCTGTAACTTCAGGCCGCGGCAAAAATTCCAAAATATTCCGGGAATTGCCGGGAAATTTAATCCAGTTTTCCTGTACATTATGTGAATAAACCTGGCAAGTTTCAGCGCGGTATTATAAATCCTCATCTTTTTACATCGATTTGTTTTCAGTGCAGTCCAACACAGCCACAAAATTGCCCTTAATTCGCCCTTGATTTTCGTCGCGCTGTGCTCTTTCTTCATCGCCATCTTGAATTCTTATGAGTAAACCGCTGTTCTTAATGTTTGTTGTGACACTGACCCGATTGTAGCACGGAAAGTGGCAAGAAAAATACGAAAATCTTCGTTTGAACTCATTGCATGACGCACTCTCAATATGGCGTCGTAAACAATGTTTTAGCCTTAGCAACATGGTAATTTGCATAATGGGTCATTAAACTGCAGCCTTATCTGTCATGGATCTTACAAGGATCATATATCTGATGTGTCTCTAGAAGGCTTTTTACAGCCATAGAAATGATTTAGAAATATCAAAACAATCATTGATTGTCAGAATTTGTATCTGTGAAATATTTAGATTTTCTGTCACAAGATAAATGTTAATTATGTGTAATTTGTGCACGATCCTGTTATCCAGCTCTTAGCTGCAAGGGGTTCTGAATAAACAACTCTACTCTTCTCTACTCTACCCTACTTAATTTGGGGAAGCAGAATGTAAGCGAATTTTGCTATAATTTGCCCTGGCTTACTTGAAACTCATAATGCGTTATCGCGTGTTAGGTTGTGAAAATTGCAACGTTTCTGGCAACAACAGAAAGTATCGCATGGGATTTCATCCCTGTGATTATAAATAATTTATTTCCAAAAAAGCACTCTTAGATACCAACTTTGGCCTTCGTTTTCTCGGCTTACATTTAACAATAATGCTTCATTTTTGGAATTTGAGTTCAGGTTAAGAGTACATTTAAAATAAGCAGTTTTATAATCATGATCATTTTTGGCTTTATAGCAGTTCGAATACCTTAATCGTTGCATTCTCTTTAACCAGGGCACATTTCATAGTGAACAATCAATTGCTTATGGAACTCAGATGGTTGGAGGTGTTTCACCAGGGAAGGGTGGCCAGACACACTTGGGACTTCCAGTCTTCAATACAGTGAAAGAGGTACATGTACAGTGTATGTCATGTAACATGTGAATTGTGTATGAATGAGGGGCTGTGCTTAGATCTACAGTCAATTGTTATTCTTTTAAGTAGTAAAAATGTTGATTAATATGGACACCATAAGTGATACCATAAGTGATATGGATACCATAATTTTTTGAAAAGGATTATTTAAACTGGAAAGAAATTTACAGCTTACCCTACCAGGTTGCCCTTGACACTAAGTCACGTGAATTTCAATATAAATTGTTACACAGCTATCTGGCCACCAATGATTTTTTAGACAAAATTGGTATTTCTTCATCACCACGATGTTCTCTGTGCGATGGGGCGGATGAATCCCTTGAACACCTTTTTGTCTCTTGCCTAATTACTCAGAGTTTTTGGGCAGAAGTTATTAAATGGTGTAGCAATCGGGGGGTGGTTATTAACCATCTCTCTGCTAAAGATATATTATTTGGGATAAAGGTACATAAGGACAATTAATTTATTAATCATATTTTGCTAGTTGGTAAGCAGTATATATATAATTGCAGATGCACGAAAACAAACCCTTGTTTACGAGTTTTGTTGGCAAGACTCAGTAACGTTTATCAATTAGAAACTATCATTGCCAAATCAAAGAATAAAATGTCTTTTCTTTTATCGAAATGGCAAGCACTCTTGACAGGTGGTATGCAATTGCCGACAACACTTGTTAAGGTTTAGTAGTATTGATACTCTTGTTGTGTGTCGTGTGTGCTGTGCGTGCGTGTGTGAGTTATTTGTGTATCATTTTTTTAAAAAATTGTAACGTCGGTAATGTATGTAAAAATTAATGTTATTATTGTACGGCAAGAAACTGAAATAAACAGTGATTAAATTACAAAAAAAAATACCATAAGTGAGTAGAGAGACCAAGCATTTTGAGCACTTTATCACTTGCCCTTTTTATTGGTTGCATAACTACATGTAATTTTTCCAAAAGAACGTTCTAGATGGTAGTATTTACAGTTATTTAGGCTGCAATGTTCTTTAAAGCATTTTTGCCATTATTGAATCATTTAAATTAGAATTAATCAATTTCCAATGGAATCAGCCTTAAACTATCAAATCCCTACCATTGTTGAAAGAATGATAATTATCATAATTTTTACGTCCTGAGAATAAGACAATCTTCCTTATTTATCAACAGATTTTGAATACTTTTAAAGTCAGACTTGGACATATATGTACTAAAACCTTACTGTAAAACCGAATCATAAGGTGATCAATTTGTTTCCCAGGCAAAAGATGAGACTGGTGCTGATGCCACAGTGATTTATGTTCCACCACCTTTTGCTGCTGCTGCAGTATTAGAAGCTATTGAAGCAGAAGTGGGTTTAATTGTTTGTATTACCGAGGGAATCCCCCAACAAGATATGGTTAAAGTCAAGCACACCTTGGAACGCCAAGATAAAAGTAGAATGATTGGGCCTAACTGTCCTGGGATAATCAAGGTCAGTGATACATGTATACTTCTACTTCATGTTTGTAGTATCAGTTTTGCTGGGCCAGGTGGCATTATTGGAGAAAGTCACATAATTTAAAAGTCACCGTAAAAAGGCAAATTAAGGCCATTTAAACAATGAAAAAAAAGCAAAAATAAGACGAGTCCTAGACAATATGCATCTTATGTAAGATGCAAATTTCCCTTTAAAATAGAAAATTTTTTTGTCTGAAAAAAGATGTGGATTTGCTAAGACGTGTCTTAATACTAGTTCTAGATACATGTAAGATACATCTTAGCTCAGAAAAATACCTCACGAGTCATACAAATGACCGTTGCGTCTTGTACATGTAAAGGATGCAGATGCAATCATTATTTTAACATGGAATGCTGTCACCTGGTAGCATTTGCACAAAACAATTCTGTGTCCAGTAATAAGATGTCATCAAGATGCAAAGCATTAATTGTTTTATACAAGCTCATTGTATCATGTAAAAGGCTTCCCCCCATAATATGGTTCAGTTGACATATTACCAAGGCATGATATTGTCTTTTGTACATGTTACAAGTCAAAATTATATTCAGGTTAAAATTTTTTAACCTAGGTTGATTCTCAATTTCCTTTGTCTCCTAGCCCTAATTCTTGAATAACTAGGGCTAGCAGACAAAGGAAATTTTATTGAGAATCAACCTAGGTTAAAAAATTGTAACCTCAATTTAAATTTTGACCTGTAACATACATGTAGGACTTTATTTTTTTTCCTTGTTTGGTGACCCTATTGTCATCTTCCCAGCTTGTATCTTTAGGTAGATGGTTTCCAGTCAATGCAATAAGCATAATGGTTTCAGTTCAATTTTGGCTTAAGTTTTCATATTTTTCAATGTGTTTATAATTTTTTATCTTTCAGCCAGGAGAATGTAAAATTGGTATCATGCCAGGGCATATACACAAACCAGGAAAAATAGGTGTGTTATTTTATAATTCTAATTTCTGTTATTAGTCTGTTCTAGACATTTCAAGGCTGACTCTAACATTTTAAGTTGCCAGGTACAGCTGCATATGTAATTATTAAATGGGGAATTGAACAGCTAAAAGGTCATTTGGTTCTATTTTCCCTTTGTCTCACATTAAAAATTTCTGGGGGTCATACTGTATCCCCAGCTCCCAGCCCATAGTGATCAAGAGCCCTACATTTACAATACTGGGCAAGTACATGTATGTCAATAACGTTTCTAATAAATTGTTTAAATTTTAAGTAATTTCATTGTACAGCATTTTACATGTGGATGAGTACACAGTTCCCAAGTAGTCCTGTAATCTGCAATTGACTCTTCCCCACCAATGAGTGCCTTAACTTTAAATATGCCAAATAGAGAAAGTGTTGTGTTAAAGCATCGTGGAAAAGGCTTTATTTGATTAGGGGTACCATAAGATTTTGTTCGCAGACTCAACCATTGAAACAACATTAAAAGTGTCAATAAAGACCCTGGGGGTTTATTTCAGCTTGGGAAGCACATCATAGGCTTGTGCATTTGTATGAGTGTTTGGGTGGGGGTTAGGGAGTGGCAACCAATCCACCCTACGGAAGCTGTTTATCTGTAAGTTAAATGAACCGCCTGGGTCTTCTGTGAAAATTTTTGTATGTAAGGAAACCATCCTTGCTTTACACTGTAGGTGACACCAGTACGTGGGTTTCTCTCTTATTGCAGGTATTGTTTCAAGATCAGGAACCCTAACTTATGAAGCTGTACATCAGACTACAATGTGTGGCCTTGGTCAATCCCTTTGTGTAGGTAGGAAGGCGAAATGTTTTACATTATTACATTGAAAATCCTGTGGGACTGCTGTACTATTTCATTTCAGTGACTGAGAGTGAGTAATCCATTGCCTTCCTTATTTCAGGTATTGGTGGAGATCCTTTCAATGGAACAAACTTCATTGACTGTTTAGATGTGTTTTTAAAAGACCCTGAGACTGAAGGTAAAATAAGAATTCTTAAGAATCCAGGCCATAAAAACAATAGAAAAACTATTCTATTACTTTATTAAAAGAAATGATAATAATTAAAAAATGTCAATCATCTTTTTGGCATTGGTTACAGCTTTCAAAATAAACATGACATAGAAGCCAATTGAGTCTTAAAAAACAAAGGTTAATTTTATGCCCTTCTAATTGAATACACTCCTCTTTTCAAAGACATCAGTGTATTTGCACAGAAGAGCTTATGTCATTGCCATCTATTTGATTGAGTTACGTGGTATTTTTCAGGTATTGTTCTGATTGGAGAGATTGGAGGAGGTGCTGAGGAAAGAGCAGCTGAGTTTCTTCAAGATAACAATCAGGGTGAGAATGCCAAGCCTGTAGTGTCATTTATTGCTGGAGTAACAGCACCACCTGGAAGGAGAATGGGTAAGGATTTCCTTGACTTACAACTAAATGTATTGTTAACACCAACTAGCACAACATTATTTTTAGGGTTGACATATCACCTACAGTTGTAAGTCCAGACGTGCATACAACCTCGGACCATTTATGTCACAGCCAGTTATTTGTGATTTCCATGTGATTTTATTTTGACTGAAATGCTTGCATTAGATTAAGTTTAGGGCCTTGACACACTTGGTGATCACGATAATAAAGAGCATGAATAATAGTGTTCATTTCTAGACATAACTGATTGAATGAAACTCCAAATTCATGACTTGAGACTCGTTGAGCACACTATGTAGGGTAACCAAGATGCTGAGATTATATTGTTCAGGGTATTGACAATTGAGTAAAATTGACTGTGCATGCACATACCTTATAACTATACTCTTCCACAGTTCTTATATAGGGTGTTTTCAACCCGCTATATGTAATAATTATGTCTGGGCAAGCACGACAGCAGTTGACTTTCACTTGAAGCATGTGTTAGCAATTCGGTTCCAAAGTTGATATATCAAGGAAAATAGTTATTATAACGCGAGGAGTTGCTAACCAGTCGCAAAGCGTCACAAAGTACGAGATGATTTATTTTATACTTTTGACACTTAATTGAAACCTTACTTTAAACGATTACACCTTTAGTATTAAAGAGATTTAAACTTACGAGGTTAGACATTAAAATCTCCTAAATGAGCAGTTCTTTTAGAAAGTACATATAATTGTTGCTCCGCCAAATATCTAAATGTAGTGACTGTTTATCAGCAGGACGCTTGAAATGCACGCATTTCCACAATAATTTGTTTTAATTATCTTCTTGGTTTGAAACAAACTTTGAATCAAAGTCCGTCGGAGGTGCGTGTTTGAGTGATACCTTGTGTGTTCTTTCTCTCAGGTCATGCTGGAGCAATCATCGCTGCAGGACGAGGAACTGCTGAACACAAAGTATGACATTGTGTACTTTTATCTACTGTACTAGAATACACTGTGCTTTTCCGTCCTGTGTAGATGAACTTACAAGTGCTTTTGTCTACTGTCAGCTTGATAGAGAGGAGAAGTGTGACGTCAGATTACCATGGAAGCAGGATTTCTGGATCTCAACAATTTTTTTGGACAGAGACAGCTATTGGCATTGTGGAGCGATGGAAGAAAAGTATTAGGCGACCGTTTTGTTTCCGAGTGCAATCGTGCAATTTTTTCGTTTTCTCTGCGATATTTGCAGGACTACTGTTTGTTGAAATCCAGAGATTTTGCTACCATGGCAACATGACGTAACCCTTTCTCCTCTTTATTGTCTTCCCTCGGGTTTTCTGTTTCCTGAGGTGGCTAATTAATTTTCTTGGTAAAAGTTTGGTAAGATAATGTGATCGTTGTTTTCAGATTCAAGCTTTAAAGGATGCGGGTGTGACGGTAACAATGTCTCCAGCTCAGATGGGATCATCTATGAAAAAGGTAACTAATTAAATGTAGAGTCGACTGAATTCCAGTTTGGGCTGTTTTATTTAACACTTATTATTATTTCTTTTCCAGGTTTACGAAGAACGGTACTTCGGCCAGGAAAAATAATTATTGAAATTACCTTTTTTCTATTCTTCTTAAACCAGGAGTTTTTTAAAACTGATCGCATTTTATGTCCAGATTCCTTTTGGTGGAACGTGACGTGAAATTTACTGTGGTGTCACGTTAGAAGTCGCGTGACAGCGTCTTAGACTGCGGCGTGCTCGGGTCAAAATTGGATTTATTTAATCACGTTTAACAGCTTGTGCTGAGATTATCTGATCGATAATAGATCAATAGCTGATCGAGTAAGGACAGAAATGAAGATTGCATTAACTGTGATCTTAAATTTCAAGAACGGTGCGATTCACTTGCTACGTTGTCCTCAACTAGGAGAGATACTTTCATCTATTGTACATGTACAGTGGTAGTGGAATCGGTATTTTGCAATCGTGCTATTACTTTAAAGCACAGACTTATTATCTGACAAATAAAAGTGATTATTGTGAGAAAATGTTTTTGCTGACTCATTTTTGACTGTCTCTCTTGACAATGATGAACTTTTCTGACAAACAAGGGGGTCGTAGGATGGAGGGTTTGGGAAAAAGGAAAGGGCTGCTTCTCCAATGCGGTTTGTTCGAAAGCGGGTTCTTTACCTCCCTACTAATTCCGGAATCTCGACAGATTACATCTAAGTTTGTCATTTTCCTGAACAAAAAGGACCACTTGGTTTCTATAGAAGAAGGGATTGAATGATTGCACCATTTTCTTGTTGGCAATGCCCGGTAAATTGGAGGCGACACTTTGACAGGTGATACTGTGCCGTAAATCTGCTCGCGCATCGCGTGCTCTAACCAGTGGATGTTTTAGGGAAGAGACTTGCATTTGACGCGTGGGGAATATAGAGGAGAAAGATGGAAAAAAGAGCAGTCATTTCTGAGGAGGAGGAGTTGTCATCTCATCTTTCTCTTTCCTCTTCACTGTCACTTTTCTAACTTGGACTGTAAAGTCTGCGGATCAAACTACAATAATTCCCGGAAGGTGTGTCGGAAAATCACGCACGACTTACCGGTAGAAAAAAATATGCGCCGTCATGTCGCCTTTCTCTCCACAGACAATACAGATTCTCGGCGGTCATGCGTAGAAGAGCTCTGGGGACGGGTCGACATTGAGACAATACATAGACATTAGATCTCGAGAATATGATTTTCGAGAATTTGTTCTTTACATCGAATCAAAGTGAATGCCTTTATCCAAGGTTAGTCTCCAAGCGTTCTCTTTTGCCCCGTTGTCCTTGCGAAGTCTGGGAAACGTGTGGTTGGGTGTTCTCAAACTGCATTACCCCGAGTTTTTCTTTTGCCAATCAGAAAAACCGAAACATATTGAGTGATTATTATAATGCCCCCGATAAAAGCTTGACAGGACTTGAGGGGAAACACTATATTAATGTAAAAAATGCCGGACATGCAATTTCCTTTAGCTCGACAGGCCATACTGCATTTTCCTATCACAACGGGTTCTAATCAGTTCAATGCTTTGAGCAAAGCATATGTTTACAGTTTCTGCAAGTATCTCTAACGTCTACAACTCTCATTTGAGGCCCAAAAGGTGAAAATTTTTATCTTAGTGCCCAAAGCCATGAAATTTCATCAATCAAGGACGAACCAAAATCGTAAATAAGTCATGAAGAAACTAATCAGTAGCTAGTTTTTTAAAAATGACAAAAACACGTGAAATTTATCTTCTATCGTCGAACATTTTCTTTGCATATATTACAAACTTAAAATGCAGAGACCAAAAAGCCCTACTGTTCCAGCATTATCAAGTACAAGCTTTATTAAATTCTCCCTTCGTCTATTTTGTATTTAAAACGCTTGACGTATTAAAACAAACATAAAGAAATTTCATTTTATTACGGACCGAAATTGCAAAGCCCAAAAAGTCACACCGTTCAAGTATTATCAAGTACAAGATTAATTAGATTTTTCTCCCTTCGTTTATTTTGTATTTCAAAACTAGACGTATTAAGAATGAGTTAAGAATTATTATTATTATTTGTTCTTCCTTATTATTTATTATTATTTGTTCTTCCTTTTGTTTTATGATTCAAAGAGGATGTCAATCAACGCCGTATTATCCTCGCTGACTACATTATTCAACCGAACTCCGGCAGGTTCAATCTGACTTCTTTCCATAGGAATATTATCGAGGATTTATTCGGCCAGAAATTGGACAGGGTAAATGGCGGCTGTTATCAACATTACTTCAAACGGCAGCAGTGGATCATCAGGCGTAGAAAACTTTGTATGTAACCCTCTCGACGACTCTTTCCCAGCTCAAGTCGGTAAAATCCTCATCTTCTCGTTAATTATCCTGACAAGCTTTTTTGGCAACTCTCTCATAATTTTCATAGTGTATAAGCGTCCAGAATTAAGAAAAACGACAAATTACTTCATTGTAAATATGGCTGTCTCCGACTTTATATTCCCACTTGCAGCTATTCCTCTTAGCTTGGCTTATTTGGTGTCCGGCTCTTTAGAATGGTTTATTGACGGAATGGCGGGATTAATCCTCTGTAAACTAGGAACATTTCTGAGGCGTGTTTCAGCGTCAGTTTCTTTAGAAAGCCTCGTGTGGATCGCTTTAGATCGGTTTGTGGCTGTCGTGTTGCCGATGAAAGTTCGTCTGATTTCGAGGAGAGTCCGAGCTTTCGGTATTGTCTCTACCTGGATCACAGCGATAGTAATCAATTCTGTTGACTTGTACATGTACGATTTGGTAGAAAAACATCACACTTTAAGGTGTTCATACTCTCCAGTGTATTGGTATACATTGATCTATTTGCTGCGAGTGGCCTTGTTTTGCATTGCCCCATTATTCGCAATGACTATTTTATACTGTATGATAGCAGTGACTTTGCGGAAACAAGACAAAGCTCTCCGCCTCGCCACAAATAATCAGGCAGATCACAAAAAGCGACGTGCATTTAAAATGAGTATGTCTATTATGGCTTCATTCTATATTTGCGTTATTCCAATGTTTGTTCTGAACATCGTCTTGCGAATGGGAATCGAAGTGCCGTGTTTGTCTCTCAAGTTGCTGATTTTTTTCGGTTATTTTATGCTATATTTTTCTTCTACAATCAACCCAATTATTTGCATCGCATTTGTTCGTAGTTACCGTCGTGGATTCATAGATATCTTTCATTCCTCCTGGAGAAAAATACTAAATGCAAGTAACGCTGAAACACGTCAACGTGAAAACTTCAGTCTTCAGCAAATCAGGCTCACACCAATTTCAGAAAAAAGGGAAATACCCTCAACATAACCAGGATGGACGTTGAGGAGATAGACTTCCAGGTTTTTGGCGGAATTCGGTTCCAATAGGGCGATATAAGCGAAAGTCTGAGAAGACAATCAGTTTCAATACAGGCACGGACATATACGTAATTGAAATTCGTAACAGAAACAGACTTCATTAAATATCAGTAACTAATTTCTAGTTTGGACAGTGGCGGATCCAGTGGAGGGGCCCGGGGGGCCCACCTCCCCTTATTCTTAGACCAAACTGAGGCCCGAAGGACCGGCCCCCTCTTATTTAAGGGTGTGGATGACCGCCCCCCGCCTCCTTATCTCAAGGTCTGGATCCGGCACTGTTCGGTGCTCGTTACTTAATTAATGAATGAGGCTGCAGAGTATCTTATGAAGAATTATGGAGATCGAGGAGGGTGTTATCCGTCGAGACCGTAGGCCGAGGCGGATAACACCCTCCGAGATCTCAATAATTCTTCACATGATACGAAAGTTCAGTAATTGTTTTATTATCATTCAAAATAATTCCTAGCTTAAAAACATGCATAGTTAAAACATGGTTACCTCCATCGATGTTAAGTTCATCTTCGATAGAGCACGTTTGGGGTTGTTCAGGTCCTCGCAAATATTCTCCAAATAGCAGATGTCGCCCTTCGAGTTGTCTTCTTGCTTTTCGTGCCATGTTTTTAGCTATTATTTCGCCTAGTTCTTCTTACTCTTGAGACGAGAGAGTTGTCCGCTATTTTTGTTTTCACAACCAAAACAACTCAACCTTATTCCCAGGTCTTCTCGGTTAACAGTGCATTAACCTGCAAAAAAGGTGCACTTTCGACGTCATCGGTTCATTAATCGCAACATTCTTCCAAATTTGGTCATCAGTAGCTGGTTATGGTGAATTATGCGTGTGCTTCTAGCCAATCAGAATCGGGGAAATATTTTGAATGAATAATAATAATAGTAATTATTATTATCTATAATTATTTTTATCTATTCTATTTTATTCTGAAACCTGCCGTGATCAGTAGATCCAGCATGTACCAATCATACCAAGGCTAAGGACTTACAACCTCGTCACTATTCCCGTGGGAGGCGTAGCGGACGACCAAAGGAAAATGTAAATAATTGACCAAAAACAATTTTGAGCACGTTATAGATTTAAATAAGTTGCGTCTACCCACAACCTCTCAAGCCGCATCTACGTTTTTCTTGACAAGCTGTTCTTGGAGATGTAAATGGAAAAAAAAATGGCCACTTTTTTTCCTTGTTGGCGAAGGGTGAAAACAGTTGGCATTATCATATAATTGGTGCACGTTCCCTACCTTATCCTAACATCGTAAATCCGTGTATCTGGTCAGACGGAATAGAGCCTATATTGGGATTAGCTCTCTTACCCTTAATCCTATCTTTTTTTTTAAACTTCTTTTACCGTTTGTTAAACACTGGAGGGTTTGGGGTCCCATACTGTGTCGTTTATTTGGATGATGGATCAAACGTATAACGGAGCAAAGCTCTTCCTAGCGCTACAACCGTGGACAAAACTGTTTGAGACAAGCTGAAAAAAGACCTCCTTTCTCCTGTCATTCTGACTAAAATAAAAACCGTAGGTAAATGAATAGCCTTACTCCCCAGTGTCCTTTTCCAGTCTTGTTTTGAGTAACACTAGAAGTATAGGGAATAGTCCCGGTATTCGGGACACTGCTTTGCCGTGGATCAAAAGCTATCTTATGGATCGGATTCAACTTGTCCAGTTTGGGTGCCATCAATCTTACTAAAGGAAAATTTCATGTGGCGTCCCACAGGGCTGAAACCTTGGACCTCTTCTGTTCATTATTTCCGAAAACGATCTTCCCAATGCCTCTAGCCTGACTCAGTCTTTACTGTTGGCTGATGATACACATATCATTTTTGTTCCCATAGGGATACCGACCATAATAAAATAGTTACGTGGCTTAAAGCGATTGAGTTATCTATCAATTTGACTCAACCGATCTTTATGATTTTTCATCCAAGGCAAAGGTAAATTAATGTTAATGTGCTTCTTCTTGTGGAGAATACTTTAATCAACCAAGTCTTGGAAACTAAATTCTTAGGTGTTATTATTGATCAGCACCTTTTCTGAAAATCTCATTTTAATTTTGTTTCTAAAAAGACCTCGAAAACTGGGGGGATTATTGCGAAAGCTCATTTTTATCTATCATCCAAAACGTTGCCGACCTTATATTACTCTCTAGTATATCCCCACCTAACATCAGATAAGATAAAAGCTTTATTTTAGCACGATAAAAAGATCAGCATTGCTGGTGGGGTCGTGCATACAACAATTACAAGAAAAATAAGAAGTACTGAAAGCAAATGTACAATTAAAAATTAAAAACTGTTAAAATGTTTGTAACCGATATTTCAGTTTTTAGTTGTAGCTAAAATGTAATAATGTTGTGGCTAAAAGGTAATATTACCTAGTCTTCCACCTACTGCTCTAACCTAAACTGTATTTATCTTCACGGCTCATGGCAAAAGCCCACTATCTAGCAAATAAAGCCCCATTATTTAGCCAACTTAAAGTCGTTGACATAGATAGCATTAATTCTTTTTCTGTTGTTACATGTATGTATTCGTATCACCACAATCTTCTGCCTAGTGGCTTTCGTCACCTCTTTTTAAGTAGTAATCAGGTTCACCATTATGAAACTCGACTAGCTTCTCATTATAGACCTCATTTTGTCGGGCTAATATTAGGCAGTTCAGTATCCTTTATCGAGAACCAACAATCTGGAATTCGCTGCCAATTTCACTAACCAGCTATCCTTCCATATTTGTGTTTTTTTTAATCTGAAAAATTTTATCATTGATAGTCTTTCTGTTGCTTTAGTTTTATATTTTCTGTGGACTCTGTACTCAAGTATGTAATTAGTAATCTAGCTTAAGGAATTCGATTAATATAAGCGACCAGCTTCTTTGGGCTTCCTTGTCACACTAACTTATATTCTACTTAACACCTTTTGTAACGTTTTGTTGTTATGTTATGAGTGACTAAAACACAAACAATCAAATAAATAAATAAATAAGAGTGTCTAGGGGCCTCTCCCAAGTTACATGGCTGAGTATTGTTCGGGATAGAGTTGAGGGTGTCATGACTATTACCGAGATCCGGTGTTAGGGTTACAGAAATACTTTGCTCATATCGATAGATCACAGCCTCTCCTGTCGCCACTCTAATCTCGGGGATGTCTCTAGGGGTGATTTCTGCGGGAGTTATATTCACGGGAAAGATATTTGCGCCCATAGGATGCTCACTAAATTAGAACGAACTCAAAGTGTTCAACTGTCGTGAACTGATATCCATCCAATTTGCATTGAATTCATTGGGTTTGTCTCTCTCCGGTTCATGGGTGAAATGGTTTACTGACAGCCAAGGGGCGCTTAGAATCATCCAGGTTGGCAGCATCCACTTCAAACTGAATAATTTGGCTTCTGGCATTTTTTCCTTTTGTTCCAATAATGAGATGTATAAGGAGGTAAAGCTACAGTATCTTGGTGACGTTCTTGACCCAGATGATTAGGAAATTGTTCCAGAAATTTTACATCTACTGGATGTTCGCTAGGGTCCTTATACCGTTAACTGCCTTGCCACGTTTTACGATGACAAAGTTCCTAGATTTTTCTCTAGGTTTTGGAATCCAGGCTCATCTAGTGTGGACGCATTTTTTCAAGTGTATCAGGGTGAAAATTGTAATATGGTACCCCCAATTGTTCTGTTGTTCAAGTTGCTTAATTTTATGTTTCACTCTCGGTCTCGAGCTTCTTAGCTCGTAATTTTTGAGGCTTTTTGGTTAGTTTTTAATTTTTCGAGGGCGCATCATTAACTCACTCAGTTAACTCCCCTTTCCGTCCAGTCATACCATCGCAGAGATTCTTGCTTTTGGTCAGTGAATTTTTGCCGAATATTTATTCCGTTATGTTTTGGCTGGGTGGTAGTGCTGTTTACTAAAATTAAAGAGCTTTCAGGCCTTCGCCGGTTGATAAAGAAAGCTTGGTATTGCCAGTTTTTACTTATTACATTTTTTTTGTTTACCGGGTAGCGACTTGGTTTTTTAGGCACCTGAAGTCAGATGGACACAGGGGTAATTCTGCATACATTATATGGAGATGATTTTATGAATCCTTTGTTTTTTGTTTTTTTTCTCAGCAATTTTACTGTTTTAGCTTCTTTCCGACATTTTACGTTGGGTAAAATACGCGGTGTCCAGAGCCAACGTATGGTGCAGCAGTTGCTGTCTACATCAACCATTGTAGTCCCGCTGTCAGAAAGTATTAGAATGTACTTTCGTGCCTATTACAATTTTAAGGGAATGATTGTTACTCTTCCATGAGATAGTGGTTTAATATCGAAATGTCTCTCGTATCTCCGTGTTGCGAATAATTCATATTCTTTCCTCTCTTCGGCGTTTTCTGCTTTGCAGTCGATACATGACATTATTCTTTATGCTTCCCAAGGTAACCCAGATGATATTGTCCTTTCTAGCAATATTGTTGAATCTAGTCAGCTTTTATTTGGTACATTCAGATCTTTAAGGAAAAAGCGCCTGTTAGTTGGGATATGAATTATCTCATTTGACTCACATTTGCACTCATGGATGGCAATATCAGGGATTTGCGCTCTATCTTTCTACTAGGATTCTATGGCCTTTTTACTATAAGTCAGTCACTGGATTAACAGGTCTCTGACGTAGCAATACATGATCAGTTTTTAGAAATTCTTGTTAAGTCAAGAAAAACTGGTCAATACTCAGGGAAGGTACCAAAGAGTTTATTTTTAAGTTCGGAAAGTTAAAATTATTTGCCCTCACGCAAAAACTTATTTGTCGTTTCTTGCTTCCGCTATACTAATTTTTGCGGCATTTAGGTTTGTGGAGGAAACTAATTTGTACGCATTATGTCCTAGACTATACAAGGGCTTTATATTTTAAAGGCCTTTAGTATTCATTGTCTTAGGGCCGGTGGAGCGCTTTTATGGCG